CGGACACAACTGACCATTTAAAATATAGACCCGAACACACTCAGGTCCTGGGTCCACTGTGAAGACCTCTATACAGTTTACCTTAATAGATTTATCTTTAGAGGAGATAACTAATCACAATCCTCAACCTAATAACCTTCATGATTCATTCTAACACACTTCTTACACTTTTCTGTTGCATGGTATTCATGTCATGACTCTTGGAGAGATTTAGTATGGTAATAAATATGTATATGGACTTGGAGGCATAGATCTACTGTGCTGCTGCTGCTTCTTTAAATATTTTGGCCGAGCATATCGAGTTTTGCTACTGCCAGTTTATTCACAGACATGCAGTCTGAGAATATAATACAGTGCTGCTGCAAACATATATATATATACATAACAATATATATGTAACCCCCCAAACAAGGCAGGAGAACATGAAGGCAAAACTAACCAATGAAACTTAGCTATAGATAGACTTTTGTTATTTTTTTCACGACCATGAGCTATGGGTTCACATGTTTTCTATCTATGTGCACCTGGGCTGCCTTGCTATTTGCTAATGAAATAGTACACTACCTGACAAAAGTCTTGTCGTCGATCCCAGTTTTTGAATGCAGACCTATTGGAACTCGCATGGACCCAAGATTCTCACAGAAAACAGTCAAGTTTGATTAAGAAAAAAATCATGGTTTGGGGTTACATTCGGTGTGAGGGCATGCAAGAGATCTGCAGAGTGGGTGGCAACATTAACAGCCTCCACATCAAAGTTCCTGAAAGCAAAGAAGGTCAAAGTGCTCCAGAATTGGCCAGCCTAGTCACCAGATATGAATATTATTGAGTATGTCATGGGTAAGATGAAGAAGGAGGCATTGAATATAAATCCAAAGAATGTTGATGAACTCTGGGAGTCCTGCAAGAACGCTTTCTTTGCCATTCCAGATTACTTTTTTAATAAGTTATTTGAGTCATTGCAGAGATGTATGTAGTCCTTTAAGCTCATGGGGGTCATACACAATATTCATTCTTTTCCCACTGCACCATGACTTTATATTCTATACTGTACATTATTTCTGTTAAGTGACAAGACTTTAGTCTAAGCAAAGTTAGGTCTTACTGTCCTAATTAAACAATTAAAAATTACGGCATGATCACATTTTATTTTGATAAAATAAGCATAATCTAGAGGCCATTGCCTTTCATATTAGCCACTTCTGATGTCAAGTGGTGCAATAGTCAAGAAATGCTGCTGCTGTACCATGGATTTACCAGGCCGAATAATATTACACAGCACTTGAATGGGTCATTTTCAGAGGACGCCTTGAAACTATGGAGACATTTAAGACACGCTTGAACTCCATCAGATAGCAGAACAGGTTTAGCATGATTTGATGCGTTCAACAAACTAACCAACCTTTTCCATTCAGGAATTTACAGTTAATAATAGTCCTGATGAACAATTCATTTATGAATTAGAGAATCTAATGTTATAGCTCAAACACTATATTGAAAAAAATTTATTAATGCATAATAAACTTTTCATAATGCACTGCAAACTAAGCTGAAGCATCCATTCAATATATAAATTATAAGCATAAAAGTTTTAAATAATGCAAATATGTATTATACATGTATTATTTTAAAAATGTATGTCTTTGTAATGGTTAATCTAAACAACTATGTGTAAGCTCACAATGGTATTTCTCATTTTAAAATGTAATTGGTATCCACAAACTTCAATTATAAATGTATTCATTTTTCTTTAGCTTTATCCCTTTATTTATCTGTGGTCACCACAGCGGATGAAGCGCCAACCTATCCAGCATATGTTTTACACAGCGGATGCCCTTTCAGCCGCAACCCAGTATTGGGAATTATCCATACACTCTTATTCACACACATACACTACAGCCAATTTAGTTCATTCTTTTTAGTTTTTTTCTATTTGGTTTAGTCTGCATGTATTTGGACCTAAACATGGGCAAACTCCACACAGAAATGCCAACTGACCTAGCCAGGAATCGAACCAGCAACCTTCTTGCTGTGGGGTGACAGTGCTAATCACTGAGCCACCCTATCCACAAACTTTTAAATGTAATATTATTCCATAAAGTCTTGAAAAATTTAAATACTTTCACTACAAAAAATAAATACAATAAATAAAAAATGATTTAAAAAGATACATACTAAAAACAAGTCAAACTATCTGCAGTGAAGTAAGATAATTATACTTGGCAAGATTTCTTGAAATAAAAAAAAAACACAGAAAAAATGTTTTTAAAAAAGCTTTATGACGTCAGCGCAATAGTCTAGTGGTTAGTGTGCCGACATATGGTGCAATAGCACATCAGGGCGTCGCGAGTTAGAATCCCTGCTCGAGGACATTTTCCTACCGTACCCCCTCTCTCTCTCTCCCACTTCGCTTCCTGTCTCAATACTGTCCTATCTAATAAAGGCAAAAAGGCCCTCCCCCCAAAAAAAAAGCATTATAACATTATTACAGTGTAGTCTGATTATCTTAAAACTAGGTTTTTTAATAGCTTTTTTTAGATTAAACAGTACAGAGATAACAGTACAAAAAAATATATGTTTTGGTAATCACCAAAACTGTTCTCTGCTACAAACCATACATTAGGTGGTAGTTAAATAAATTTACCAAATAAATGGTAACTATTTAAAGAAATAATATTTTTTTCACAATTAGGTATACACTTACCGGCCACTTTATTAGGTGCACTTATCCAACTGCTCGTTAACGCAAATTTCTAATCAGCCAATCACTAGGCAGCAACGCAAAGCATTTAGACATGTAGACATGGTTAAGACGAACAGCTGCAGTTTAAACTGAGCATCAAAAGGTGATTCAAGTTACTTTGAACATGATGGCATGGTTATTGGCAACAGATGTGCTAGTCTGAATATTTCAGAAACTGCTGATTTACGGGGATTTCATGCACAACTTTCTCTAGGGTTTACAGAGAATGGTCCAAAAAAGAGAAAATATCCAGTGAGCGGCAGTTCTGTGAGTACAAATGCCTTGTTGATGCCAGAGGTCAGAGGAGAATGGCCAGACTGGTTTGAGATGATAGAAAGGCAACAGTAATTCAAATAACCACTCGTTACAACCGAGGTATGCAGAAGAGAATCTTTGAATGCACAACACGTCGAACCTTGAGGCGGATTGGCTACAGCAGCACAAGATCACATCGGGTGCCACTCCTGTCAGCTAAGAACAGGAAATTGATTCTACAATTTGCACAGGCTCACCAAAATTGTAGAATCAAAAATTGGAAAAACGTTCCCTTGTCAGATGAGTCTCGATTTCTGCGGCAACATTGTGATGGTAGCATTTATCAATCCTGCCTTGTATCAATGGTTCAGGCTGGTAGTGCTGGTGTAATGGTGGAGTTTCTTGGCACACTTCGGGCCCATTAGTACCAATTGTGCATCATGTCAGGGCCACAGACTACCTGAGTATTATTGCTGACCATGTCCATCACTTCATGACCGCAGTGTACCCATCTTCTAATGTCTACTTCCAGCAGGATAACATGCCATGTCATTAAGCTTGAACATGACAATGAGTTCACTGTACTCAATTGGCCTCCAATGAAATTGGCCTCATGGGAAATTTGCATCATAGATGTGCAGCAACTGTGTAAAGCTATCATGTCAATATGGACTAAAATCTCTGAGGAATATTTCCAGTACCTTGTGAAATCTATGCCACAAAGGATTAAGACAGTTCTGAAAGCAAAAGGGGGTCAAATCCGAAACGAGTATGGTGTACCTAATAAAGTGGCCAGTGAGTGTTTATCAATTAAATTTGTGCTATTTTAGGAGTTCATTCATTCAACTGTAAATAATTTTGTTAATAAAAATGTCTAATTCATTCCTAGGATTTGTTGTATAAAGCTTATATGATAAAGCAAAAGTAACCAAGAAAAGCAGGGCTTAGACAAGGGTCATGATCGGGTGTACATCATTAGAAAAGGCTACAATAAATATCACAATATTACCTTCAGCCAGCTCAACTTTCTGCTGCACTAGAAGTTGATCGATCTGTGTTGTAAAACAGAAAACACGTTGATCAAGCTTGGTCCCGACTTGCTGATAAGATACTATCACAAAACAAATAATAATAATAATCCATCACTGTCAATGCTGCCCTACAGAACTAAAGATATGCAGCAGTAAAGCTTGCATCAGGCTGCTGAGAAGAAAAAAAAGTAATCTAAAAAACTAAAATAAAACTAAAATTAAATCACTGCTTACATTGACACTTCATTATACACAGCAGTTAATATGTAGCTATGATTTCATCCAGCTATTTTTATGTGCATTTTGGCATATCATATAAATGTTTAATCTTTGTGTATCGTTTAAATTTACTACTCTTTTGTTATGTTAGTGGCTGTTTTTGCTCTGTTGACTTTCATTATAATGACATTTATTTTGAATGCAAAGTCATGACACTATATAATAATGCATGTTTTAATTGTTTCCCTATTGGGAAGAGGTAAAATTTGTAATTTTACTGTTGAAAAAAGTGCCGTCAAGTACCATACAGAACGACAAATGCACAGCAAGCTCTACCTGAGTCAGGTACTCCAGTCCTGGTGGACAGCCATCAGGTCTCTGTGGAACTGGCATCATAACCACTTGACCTAGGAAAGAAAGAACACACTGTGTTAATCTTTAGGATCCATGAAATACAATTTTGATCAATCAAAGTTATCTTAGATTCCTTTACCATGGCCTGGTATGGCGGCTCCTTGACCATATCCAGGGGCAGGGTGAATTGCATTTTTATTTGGTTGAAGCTCAACTGGGTAGCCTGCTTTAAAAAGTATCAAACAAGACAAATTGAAACTGTGCAAGAGTATTTTCCTTGAATTACATACTGTAAAAGCTATTTAACACAGTGTTGCTAGGATCAGGTTACTGTTGATAAGCTTTCTGACACACTTACCATTGTTGGTTTCCATGGTGAAAAGCAGCAAAGTGCTCTGCAAATATGCAAAATAGAAAAAAGTACCGTAGGTTAAACAAATATTTCCAGGATATTTACACCCCTATTTAAGGAATGGGATTTTGGCAGCCAACAGCCAACATAGACAATGAATCCCCAACGGACGTTAGTGCTCAATGCTTTTGTTGAGAACTCCTAGGAACTGACCAGGAATTACTGGGTAAGTCAAACCAAAGGAGCAGAATACAAAGAGTAGTCCATATTTGAAGATAATCCTCAAACACCATGGGATCTATTTTTGACTTGACAGTTTTACAATAAAAAACTAAAACATAAAAACTAGACTGTTCCTGTCCTTTATGAAAATTGGTGGTTTTAAGAGTAGTAGAGTAACCGTGCATGCTTCTGGCACATTGAATACATTTGTTTATAAGTTACCATGGCATAACATGGTTTTATTTTCTAAGGTAATTCATTGTCTGTATCTTAACTTTTGTTAGTTTACCTATAATACCATTGTCAATAGGTTAATATACAGGTGAAGTCAGAATTATTAGATGCCTTTGAATTTTTATTTTCTTTTCCAAATATTTCCCAAATTATGTTTAAAAAAGCAAGGATATTTTCACAATATGTCTGATAACACTTTTTTCCTTCTGGAGAAAGTCTTATTTGTTTTACATTTTGGGAAAACCATTTTGAGGTCAATATTATTAGTCCCTTTCAGCATTTTTTTTTTTGATAGTCTACAGATCTTGCCTAATTACCCTAACCTGCCTAGTTAACCTAATTAACCTAGTTAAGCCTTTACATGTCACTTTAAGCTGTATAGAAATGTCTTCAAAAATATCTAGTCAAATATTATTTACTGTCATTAGGGCAAAGATAAAATAATCAGTTATTAGAAATGAGCTATTCAAATTATTATGTTTAGAAATGTGTTGAAAAAAATTGCTTTATATTATTATAGTTAATATAATTAATTAATTTAATTAATTATAGTATATATATATATATATATATATATATATATATATATATATATATATATATATGTTATAAAGTGCTCAGCATATATAAGTACACCCCTCACAAATCTCTCATTAAAAATTAATATTTTCTAAAGGAAGCTTTACAATATTTTACTTGTGTGTTAACATTAGATTAATCAGTAATGAAGCCAAATCTGGAGCTCATCTAACGAAATAATTTATGATAATGGTACACCCGAATTTGTAATAAATACTAGATTTAAAAATAGCAAAACTAAAGAAAAAAAAATGTGTAACATCTAGTGACATTTTGTAGTTTAACATTGTTCCCTAATATTTGCATGAATTTTATCTTTCTATTTCTAAAGATGTTCGTTGACTAAAATATTATTTTAATAAATATATCCATTTAATAAATCTGTTTTGTTGAAGTGTCAAAATAAATTGCGTATATTCACTAAGAAATAGATACAAATATTCATCTTCAAAATGGGGTGTTCTCAAATATGCTTAGCACTGTAACTTAACTTAACTATATTTAAATATTAACTTAACTTATAATTATTATCAAAATAATTTAACCAAGGGCTAATTATGGGTTAAAAATGACTTTAATGTCATTTTTTTAATATTTAGAATTCAGGAGGAATATAAAATAATAAACTAACTTATAAAGTTATTTTATGCCACTGGTATAACCGTTGTATCCATTTTATTTCAAACGCCACTATTATTTATTTTACATTACTATGTGTTGAAGCCAGTTAACATTCTTAAAGGAGCATTAAAGATAGCAACTTACCTATTTAAAGAGGATGCCGTCTCGTCTTGTTCTTTAATTTGATATTCCCCACCAATATCCTCTCCTAAGGCTGTCGGTTAGTACTTTTTATTTACTTGTTTCAGTCATTTAATGGGCGACGGTCACACAGTTTTCTCCTCGCTCTTTATCTGCCTCACTGTTTCCTTCCCGGGAAACATATGCTCGCGAACACACCCCTTACAAAAACGAAAGAGGAAAACAATCCGGCAGTTATTACTCTAAATGCTTTATGTTTCGGTATGATTCGTCTGTGGCCGGAAGTATCTCCATGGTAAAATAGTTGTTTCACTGCTACGAATTCGAAACTGATTTTCTTCCACCGGATGTAGCTAATTTAAAGCTTCTGCTTTTCAAATACCATTTAAAATGAGCGAATACCATTGCTGTCGTGTTTTCTCTAGTAAGGAAATAAAACAGAAATAAATGAACCACAACGTCCTTATTTTTCATCAATGATTAGTTCAGTTTCACAACGCCTACTATTGTGAAACGGCATAATTAAATGTGAAGAAATAGGTCTGGGCATACTATAGGCATATATAGCACAGTAGGCACAGAGTATCAGCTTTCACTTTACTACTGATTCTCAGGTGCTATTCTTGTGGAATAGTGTTCTACTGTAAAACAACATCATACACACACCAAAAATAGCAGAAAAAAAAGACTTTTATTGATTTTATTTTAGTAGTGGTGTGAATAAAGTATATTATATTTCATTAAATTGAACAAACATTCAGTGAGTAAATGAATAAGCTACATACATACAGTAGCCTAGATATAATGGGCACTGACATGGAGGCAAAAGTACAGTGCCCAGCATATATGGGGCGGGTTTGTTGATTTGGGGGCCCTAAACGAATCCAGTCATTGGTTCAATAGTCCTAAAATGCACCCTTTCTACTTTTTTTATTTTGCTGAAATATTTTATATCCTTCAAATTTCTTTTCCACGTCTGTCTTAATACAATCTCTACATTTTAAATGATTTGTTTTCTTAAAATTAGTTTTCAACTAAAAATAATGGGCTTCACGGTGGAGCAGTAAGAAGCACAATCGCCTCACAGCAAGAAGGTCGTTGGTTTGAGTCCCGCCTGGACCAGCTGGCATTTCTGTGTGGTGTTTGCATGTTCTCCCTGTGTTGGTGTGGGTTTCCTCCAGGTGCTCTGGTTTCCCCTACAAACCCAGACATGTGAATTGGGTAAGCTAAATTGTCTGTAGTAAATGAGTGTGTATGGATGTATATTAAAAAAATGCATATATATATATATATATATATATATATATATATATATATATATATATATATATATATATATATTTTTTTTTTTTTTTTTGACTGCTGGACTCCTTTATGATTGGGATGGTGGACAAATTTGGGCAGATGTAATAATAATATTTAAATTTAGAATATTATTACATCACATTTTATTAATATAATGATAAAATTATATTTTATTTATATTAAATTATATTTAATTACGTGACATTTTGTTTGTTTGACGCTCAACATGCAAAATATGATGTTAAATATGGTTTATTGGTTACTGCTATTTATTCTTCTAGAATTTATTCCTCTAGATATTTATTTTGGGGCCCCAGATTTCCTGTGGTTCTAAGCAGCCGCTTGCCATGCGTATTGGTTAAATCCACCCCTGCATATAAGTACACCCTTCAAAAATGTAACTTTTAAATTCATATTTTTATAGGAAGCCATACAGTATATTTGTGCATATTATATTAGTCAGTACTGAAGCCAAGTCTAGAGCTAATCTAAAAAAATAACTTACGATAATGATCCTAAAACTAGTACACCCAGATTTATGTTGTATTTTTAAAATATTTTTAAAATTGGTTGAAATGTTGTAGGCTGTAATTTTTTTAACAAAATTTTGCTTGAATTTAATTGTATTATCTTTCAATTTCTAAATATGTTTGTTGACTAAAATATTATTTTGATAAATATATCTGTAGAATAAATCTGTTTTGTTAAAATGCACCCAAATATTGCCTATATTCACTGAGAAGTGGATCAAATTATTCATTTTCAAAATGGGAAGTACTCTATTATGCTGAGCACTACACAAAATTCCGAAAAGCAGATGCCAGAATTTGTTGTTCTAAAAAGATAAAAAATAAAATCTAATTTTAATTCAGAATATTTTCTACTTACAATTATGACACAAATGTCTAAATTACCACATAAACACTTTAATGTGAGGTCAGAACCACGAAATAAAAAACATCTGATTAACTTTTTCTTGGCAGCAACAAGCATCCATGTCATTGCAATGAGTAAAAAAAAATACAGCTTTTGATGTTTGCTTTATTTATTACAAACCTGTTACAAATATAACTTGTGTGCTACAAGCCCAGACAATGATACAGTTGAAGTCTAATTATTAGCCCCCTTGAATAGCCTCCCTGTTTATTTTTTTTCCCAATTTATGTTTAACGGAGAGCAGATTTTTTTCAACACATTTCTAAACACAATAGTTTTAATAACTCATTTCTAATAACTAAATTATTATATATTTGCCATGATGACAGTAAATAATATTTGACTAGATATTTTCAAGACACTTCTATACAGCTTAAAGTGACATGTAAAGGCTTAACTAGGTTAATTAGGTTATCTAGGCAGGTTAGGGTAATTAGGCAAGTTATTGTATAAGGATGACGTTCTGTTGGCTATCGAAAAAATATAGCTTAAAGAGGCTAATAATTTTGACCTTAAAATGGTTTTTAAAAAAATAAAAACTGCTTTTATTTTATCCGAAATAAAACAAATAAGACTTTCTCCATAAGAAAAAATATTATCTGACATACTGTGAAAATTTCCTTGCTCTGTTAAACATCGTCAATATTTTAAAAAAATAATAGTAATTCAAAGGGGGGCTAATAATTCTGACCTCAATGGTATGTCACAAAGTGTGACCTTCAGCAATGCCTAGATACAACACATTAAGAATGCTGAGTTTTACATCATGGATTAGTTACACATTCATTTTTTTTATAGAGCTGACATAATACAAAGGTTCATTGTGACACACCTTTCTTTCAAAAGAGGATGTAAAACAAAGTTCACACTGTGCTACATTTAAAGCATTAAAAAGAAGTGGACACTAGCGGAACTGTTAGTGGGGGTGAGATAGATAACTAAATATAACTGGGGAACTAATAACAATACACATAAGCTTTTACTTAAAAGTTCAAAAGACAAAACTGGACAGCATTTGTATTTCAAAGTGCCCTAACAAGAAAATATAATAGGCATATATAGTAGTAAAATTATTAGAGTTCAGTACATAAAAATGGTCATACCATGAGCCTCAGACAGGCAAATTTGCGAGTGTAAAACCCCTGTAAAAAACAGGCCTAGCAGAACACAAATCAGTTGCACATAGGGCTATTCTTTAGCACGCCCTCAACATCTGCATGTGCTTTAGGTGTTTTGACTGTTCATCATCAGAATCATGGAATCATTAATATGCGTGCCCCAGCCCTGGACAAAATGTTTCCTTGTGAGATTATTCATTCATTAATTTTCCTTTGGCTTAGGCTCTATTTCAGAGGTCGCCACAGAGGAATGAACTGCTACCAGCATATATGTTTTACGCAGCGGATGCCCTTCCAGCTGCAACCCAAAACTATGTTTTATCACAGTTGGTCAAGCCAGGTTTTTTAAAGTTGTAGATTCATGTTAACCTGTGCTTTTGGACTCGTGTTAGCATGTTTCTACAAAGTCAGACATGAGCTGATATTTTCCGGTGTGTGGTACATTCCGCGTCACTTCCATTGTGTGGTACATTCCCTTTCCATAAAGAATCTGTCATTGTAAATTTGTTTCGGGACTGGTAAAAGTGTTTTGCGTCTTGTTAATTTTTTTTCTAAAATGTAAATTTGTTTTGTCCTTGGTAAAATCGTTTTTCCTTTGTAATTGTGTTTTATGATAGGTAAAATGTTTTCTAAAATGTAAATTTGTCTTGAGCTTCGTAAAAGCGTTTCACACTTTGTAATGTTGCTTTGCACTTCCCGGCCACCGTATGTTGCAGATGAAATGTAACACAGAAAACACGATTTTAAATATGTTCCAGTTGGCTAGATATTGATTAACAGTCATACAAACATCTTTACCAAAGCCTCTCTACTTGATGACTGGTCTCGCATGTCCATCATGTTTGAGGTTTATTTACACTTTTCACCTGCGTTTGTAGTCTAATCAAAATCATGTCCAGCACCCAGTGTACTGTGGGCAATATCAGCAGTTAGAGAATGGACGGTTCAACACAAATGTTTTACCGGAAATGGTAAGCCATCCAGGAACCTTTGGCATACTCTTTTCAACACACTACGATTTGGGACATACTAGATCTATTTTCAAATACTATTTAGAATGGATAGTATGCGAATTGGGACGTAGCATATGTTTTTTTTTTTACCAGTGATTAGTTTACAGCTCGTCAGAATGCAAAATGTAGAATATTTGGATCAGAAATTTAGCACCAAGAGGCATAAGGTATGTTTAATTGCATCTTTTGTTCACTTATCGTGATTGTGAAATTTTCCTCATATGTTTGTAAGGAGGCAACAAACACACTGCTCAGTATGTGTTTAATGCATGTTTATGCATCATATTGCTCAGCTCTTACTGTCATTTAGTGAAAAAGCACTAATAAGTGAAGTTTTTAAACTAATTTCGAGAGGAGCACGTGATATAATTGACAGCAGCTGGCCACCTACCTACACTCATTAGTTAGCCAATCAGATCTATCCTAACCCACTATAAGTAGCCTAGCTAGACATTACTCCCTTATCTTCGTTTTCCGAAGAAACCCCCCATCCACCCATTTCTCCTCCTTTTCTCCTTTACAAAAAGGGGAGCTCTCGAGAACCACCTGATCTCGTACTCCCCTCACATGCTCTATGGACCTGGCGGGAGCCCTGGGCTCAACTATCTCCGAGCTCAGGGTTCTCTCCCGGGACAGCATGCCAAACCTGCTTACAGCTGTCAAGCAATATCTAAGTGTGAACTCTTGAAACAAGAAACATCTGTTTATCTGAACTCCTGTCTGTGTTTTCATCCACATTATAGCCTTAAAATACAACTCTAAATAAATCTCTGTCTTTTTAGACATGTTTAATTAAAAAATTTGTTGAACATAATTAAAACACAACTAGGGAGCAAAATAGGTTACTCTGGTGGTTTATATTAGATAGCTCACTCACTCCATCTAGGTAAAATTAACCTAAAGTTCAAAAGATTAAACAAGGCTCTAAATAAAATATTTCTGACATATTAAGAATGATTATTTTGCACATGTTTATTTTAGAGTACATCATGTTGTGCATGTGTGTGAGTGTGAGAGAGCAAAGCTCATTAATATTCTTGACTGATCCAAATATGGTCAATATGAAGCTTCTGATTCTAGGGGTGTTACAAAGAGAATTCTGGGAGAATTTTGAACCACATACCTACTTCTCACCTATAAAGCCCTAAATAATCTAGCTCCTGTTTACCTAACCAACCTTCTGTCTCGCTACAATCCAGCTCGCTCTTTAAGATCTCAAAACTCAGGGCTTCTGGTAGTACCTAGAATAGCAAAGTCGAGTAAGGGAGGTAGAGCCTTCTCCTTTATGGCTCCTACACTCTGGAATAGCCGATAACATACGAGGCTCAGACACACTCTTTCAGTTCAAAACTAGATTAAAGACCTATCTGTTTAGTAAAGCATACACTCAATGCATCACTTAGCGGGTTTCCACACAAGCTTCTACATCTTGTTTATATACACTATGAACAGCAGCTACGCTAATTATTCTCGTTATTCTCCATTTCCACCTGGGGATCCTCATCCCGAGGTCCTCAGATTATGCGGAGTCACTGATTGGACCCAAGACCAGCGACAAGATGATCCCAAGATGTCCATATCCGGGACCAGGCCGTATCCTGAGCAGCTGCTGTGGTAATCATGGGGGAGAGGAGAGTCTGGTTCTCTCAAGGTTTTTTTTTCTTCACTCTCCTATTGGTGAAGTTTTTTTCCCTCTCTGCTGTTGCTGAAAAACTACTCATTGAGGAATTTGCTCTTCAGTGTTTGGACACTCAATAATGACTTCAAACCACACTTAACTGAGCTAAACTGAACTGAACTTAAACACTAAAATCTGAACTACCCTGATCCAGTTACTATGACCATTTATGTGAAGCTGCTTTGACACAATCTACATTGTAAAAGCGCTATACAAATAAAGCTGAATTGAATTGAATTGAATTGAATACCTACCATACAGATACCAGAGAACAATTGAACTTATGAAATCAATGCATATGGCACCTTTAAAATAAAAGACAATGTAATCAAATGGGGATGAAATCGTCAGGATGGTTTCACTCTTGTTTTTGAGTGTGCTCAAAAAACATGAAATCCTGTAAATCAAATATGAAAAAAGGACAATGTTATCCATCATGTATGCATTACATATGATATATAAAGAACCTAAATTTAACTTTAAGTAGAAAGCTCTACCATATATATTTTACTTTACTGTATAAAATTAAATATTTTCAACAGTATTAATAAAATGTATACGTTTGTTAGGCCTCATTCACACAGAACACATCTTTGCTTCTAAATCGCAAGGGATTTGGAATGGTTTGAAAAAACAACACCATAAAGTATAACATATATTAATCCATATTTGTATTTAATCCAGAGCACATATTACTTACGATAAGAAAGCAGGCTCCCAATATAACTGCTTTTATTTTCACATCCAAATCCATTGGAAATTGTAGGCCAAAGTTGTCTGCATCCGTAAAAGCTTCTGCCTCAAATCCCGACCACTGTTTGCTAATTCGACCAATCACTGAGGACTCATCCAGTGACATCACCTGACAGAAAATAAGAATATGGAGTTTGAATGTTGGATGAGCATCAGATAGACATAAAATGGAGAACATTAATTTGTAAACCAATTGAAACACATGACATTCATGGCAGGGGACATAACATTTTGTATATAATATATAATAAAGTAATATTCCAAAATCAAGATTATATGATGCACTGAAAAAATATTTGACACCAATGTTTTGAAACAATCTAAATGCCTGTACACATTTGATCAAGTAAGGGTGTGCTCACACAGTGTACAGTAGTCTTAAACCGGGCCAAAGCATGCTTGTCCCCCCTCCCATCTCCCCCGACAACCAGCAGTCACATTACATTCGGGCCTGGGCACACTTATGTCATCGATGACGCGCTGTTCAGTAGAGAAGCGCTCTCGCTCAGCACAGTGGAGATTTATTTAGCTATATCTGTTAAGTCGTTTGACATGCAGTGTCACACAGTTAAATATTTTGCCGAACAGATCAGCCACTTTCGACGCTCTTAAACAATCATAAAGTCCTCGTGCTGCAGGAATTAGGAGGTTTGCTGAAGGTGCAGCTGTTGTGCAGTCAGGGGTTTGCGGCTTTAATAAACTATGAAAGTTTGCATTCATTGAACGGTAAGAATGATTATTAAATACATATGAAACAGTCCCTTAAAAGTCACGTCTCGATTTCAGTTTTGGGCTTAGGCGCATTTTGCACTCACGCACAAGCGTACTGCGCCAAAGCCAAAGTGAACCGCGCCCTGGCACACCTCTTCCAACTGGACCAGGGCTGGCCAAGTGAACCTGCCTGAGCCCGATTTAGAGAACTCACACTTCTCAAACGATGCGGTAAACGGGCCTGGGCACGGTTCTGATGGCATAGTGTGAGTAGGCACTAAATGTGTCCTTACAATTTTTTTTTTCCAACAGAGTGGAGAAACTATAACGCCACCTTGTAGGCTAATCGGCTGCTAGCAAAAACTGGTTCCCTCCATAAAATCCCCATAGGATTTTCCCATAGGCTTTTCGAAGATTGTAAATAGTAAACTCAGTGTTCAAACACAGTTCATAACACTTACACTTTTTGTCCAACCAAATAATACTCACATGAAAATACATCTTTGAGCTCTTTTGGATCTTAAATGCAAATGCAAGAATTGAAAAGGTAACATTAGGCTATAAACGGACTACAGAGCCCTCGGGGCGCTCGCCTGTGACGTCAGCACCACCCTGCTACAGACAACTTTTCAAGCTTATTTTTATAAATATGGTCCATGACAAAGAGTTAATTTCTCTGTTTATTATATTATAATCCACACTATATATTATAAACAAATAAATACGCAAGAACACATAGACCTACGTGCCTTTTGGATAGTTTTTTGTAGGAAATATATTTTGTTTTGCTTTAAGGTTGTTGTAAAAGTTTTAAAACTATGTATAAATGTGCCTACATAGTATTATTGTGAGACATATTTAAATAAGTGTATCGCTTGCGTGCACACAGCCCGCTTACCTTAGAAACAGACGACAGAAATGAGGGGTGAGGGACAAATCTAAATGCCTGCAAGTTCCATCATGGATAGAGAATAACATTCAATATCCTTTTTTTTTTGTCTCAAAGTACAGCGAAATACAGTCACATATGCTATACATTTTAAGGATAAGTGTAAATATTGCAGTTGTGACAGAGTTAAATGTGTTCAGATAAAGAAAAAAAAAACTGTGAAAAATCTATTGATCATGTTAAAATGACAGTTAATATGTCTGTATTTCTTACACATTTAGTCACATGTGTGCATTACTGAGAGCAGGAAAGAGACAGGCTGCACTGGTAAGCTGTATCTCCATAATATTGTTTAATTAAAATAAAGGATCAACAAATTAATCTGTCTTGACAGTTTCTACAAGTGAAGGCATTATCTACACACGATATGAATTCACAATTAGAAAAATACAAACTAAAATACTATTCATGAATATGCTTTAATAACAGATTAATCGGAAACGCGGTGGTGCAGTTTTTAGTGCTGTCGCCTCACAGCAAGAAGGTACCTGGTACGGGCCTCGGCTGGGTCAGTTGGCATTTCTGTGTGGAGTTAGCATGTTCTCCCCGCGTTAGTGTGGGTTTCCTCCGGGTGCTTCGGTTTCCCCCACAAGTCCAAAGACATGCGGTACAGGTGAAATGGATAAGCGAAATTGTCTATAGTGTATGTGTGTGAATGAGTATACCTATGAGTGGTATACTATGGGTGCACCTATGGGTGTTCCCAGAGATGGGTTGCAACTGAAAGGGCATCCGCTGCGTAAAACATATGCTGGATAAGTTGGCGGTTCATTCTGCTGTGGCGACCCCAGATTAATAAAGGGACTAAGTCGAAATGGAAATTAATAAATGAACAGACAAATCCAAATGCCCAACGCAACTGAGCTGCATTCCAGACCAGTTCAGCTCGATGACGTAAAATGTCTCCGACACCGCCTGTTGTCCCATTTAGCAACTTGATAGCAACCGTCTTTTTAAAGAAGCATAACCTATTTAAAACATCAAGAGTAAGATGTAACTGACATTTTTTATCTTGTAGAATAAAACGTGACAGTATCTTGAGTTTGTGTTTTTGCCACAAACCTTTTTAAACAATTTAACCAAAACCATTAAAAAAAAAAACATTGATTTTGGGACGAGGGAACTGGAACTGCTAAAATGCTAACTTGCTTCCAGGTTTTTACAAATAAATTAACATCATAGTTCCTCCTCTCTATTGCTCTTGAACTTTTTGAACAATTCTTTCTAGTTCTTGAATCTGATTGTTTGAGAGCTGGGATTATCAACATTGTTCTAGACTCTTTGATTGCCAAGCAGATGCATAAACTTATTATATTTTGACAAACACTGTATATAATGAACCACGTAATGGATTTTTGAGTGATTTGAGGTTGTAATTTATACATTAGAAATGTTACAGAAGCATTTTGATCTGCTTCAAAAAACATCTGCTAATGCCCTGGTGGTGTATGGGTTAGTTTTACAAAGGATTTATGCACTTTGGAATTTTAAAAAAGTTGGCCCCTACCCAACACCATTATACATTATACCATGGAAGCGCCAGAATAAAAAAATTAAATTAATTTGACTGTGTTTGTCTGAAAGAAGGAAGTCAAGTACAATAAGAATGGCTGGAGGGGGGGTGAGTAAATTATAGAGTAATTTACATTTTTGGGTGAACTATTCCTTTAAGCCCTTATATTTAGGAATTCGCCAAAGGAAACTTTTCTTTCCTCAGCAGACAATTATAACCTATACAGAAAATAAGGTAAACCACATCTCTCTCTTATACTGTATTATTGTATGTAGTTATATTGTATAGTAATTTAGTGTTTGCTTTTTGTTTTAATGGACTAAATGTTGGTGAATTCATGGATGCGGACAAGACAGAACTCTGTGATTTATTGATTGATCTGTTGATTTTGAACAGAAGTTGGTTTATTAATTGCTGTTGTATAAATGCAATATCACACAAGCAGCACTGCAATATGGTTGTATATCAGCTCTGCTGTAATTACCTACAAACAAATCACAACTGTGCTGCCTATACATCCATATCTCATAATGAAGCAGAACTATTTTACTATTTTGTCAGTTTAGTGGCTGTGGAGAGTGCAAAGACCCATGGGAATGGAATGAGGCCGTGCTTGAGTGAGCGGTGCTTGAGAAGCAGCCGAATGAACGGTCTCTCTTTTTTTTATCAGTTTTTCTCCTTTCCTCTCGCCTTATTTCCCAGGATCTCGGGAGTGTAGGAATTCATAGCAAGTGGGCAAGGCTGAGAGCCGTTGGAATGGAATGAGGCTGGTGTGCAGCGCAGGTGCTTCTCATTGTCACTCAATCAGGAGCGGAGCAGGAGACAAGAAGTGTCGCCAGCCGGAAGAACCATCTCTGGACACCAGAAGACGGACAGGTAGATGGATTCCTTCACAGGTCTCCCAGCTTGGCGTCGGATCTCTCAGCTGGGTGAGGACTGAATGACAATGAGTCTGGAGAACCAACCCCCATTATTTTCCTTCTCTCCCCTCTCTCTGTCTCCCCTCTCTCTGTCTTCTGTCTCTTTTCTCTTTATTTATCTTCTTTCCTCTCGTCCCATTTCTCCAGGTCTCACAGCTGTGAGAAACTCATGGTGACTGGGTGGGACAGAGAGCTATAGGAACAAAATAAGGCCAGTGCTTGAGTGACAATGAGAAGCACGGGGGAGTCACTGCTGTCTGTCAGGATGCCGAAGCCTGCAGCTGTCCACCAAAGCAGGAGCGTAGCAGGAGACAAGAAATGCCGCCAGCCGGAAGAACCAGATGGGTGGATAGATTCCTTCACAGGTCTCCCATCACATCATTAGATCTCTCAACTGGTTGAGGACAGAGTGGCAATGTGTTTGGAGTACCAAACCTAATTTTTCCCTCTCTCTGTTGCTTCTGTCTCTTCTCTTTTTTTCCATCACCTTTCCTCTGGCCCCTTTTCCCAGGTCTCACAAGTGTGGGAACTAATAGTGAGTAAGCAAGGCAAAGAGCTGCAGAAACGAAACGAAGGTCAGGCCTTGAGTGACAATGAAAAGCATCTGCACACCGGTCTCGAGTCCTACGGGGGAGCTCTGCACTATAAAAGAAGGAGAGACAGCAGAGGAAGACAAGAGAGGACCAGACCTGGACACTTCATGTTTTACTTTTGCTTTCAGTTTGATGGCAGACTTTGTAAAAAGCTGCAATTTGTTTGTTTTATTTTTTTTAATTAATAGATTATTTAAAAGTTTATTAGTTCTCCACTTCCTTCTTGCCATTGGCCAGATGGCCATCTAACTGTGTTACAGTGGTGCTGAAACCTGGAAGAAGGAGGGACATGTTGTCCAGATGCCCTTGCTGCTGAGAGGGAGGGAATTAACCCTAAGTGGAGGAGAAAGCTGTTCTTCTACCCCAGAGTGTGGCCAGAGGCTGGCAAGGAAAAAGTCTGCCTGCTGCTGGCTCCGAGCATGGGGGGGGGGGGGTGTGGTTCCCACCAAAGAACTGTAAGGAGCCATCCCAGAAAGGCCGGGGAATCACCGCTGTCTGCTTGGATGCTAAAGCCTGCTTCCATCAAACAGAATGGGAACAGAGCAGGAGACAAGATGTGTCATTAGCCGAAAGATCCGTCGCTGGACACTAGAAGACGGATGGGTGGATGGATTCCTTCACAGGGCTCCCAGCACGTCGTCGGATCTCTCAGCTGTTTGAGGGCCGAGTGGCAATGTGCCTGGAGAACCGAACTCCAATTTTTTTTCTTGTCCTCTCTCTTCTCTCTATGTTGTTTCTGTCTATCCTCTTTTTTCCATCTCCTTTCCTCTTGGCCTGTTTTCCAGGTCTCGCGGGTGTGGGAACTCGTGATGAATGGGCGGGGCCAAGAGCCATGGGAATGAAATAAGGCTGGTGTGCGACACAGGTGCTTCTCATTGCCTCAAGAAGTGTCGACAGCCAGAACAACCATCGCCGGACACCAGAAGATTGATAGGTAGATAGATTGCTTCACAGGGCTCCCTGCTGGACATTAGATCTCTCAGCTGGTTGAGGACCAAGTGGCAACATGTCTGGAGAACACCTCTATCTGTCTTGTCTCTCCTCTTTTTTTTACCCCTCCCTTTCTCTCGCCCTATTAACAGGTATCGCAGGTGTGGGAACACGTGGTGAGTGGGCGGGGCAGAGATTCATGGGAACGAAATGAGGCCAGTGCTTGTGTGACAATGAGAAGCACCTGCACAGCACACCGGTCTTAAGTCTCACGGAGAAGCTCTGGACTATAAAAGTAGGAGGAGAGACAGCCGTGGAAGACCAGGAAGGCCTGGACACTTTATGTTTTACTTTTGCTTAATTTATTTGATTTATTGATTTATTTTTTTCATAAATAAATTATTTAAAAGTTTGTTGGTTCCTGATGGCCAGAAGGCCATCTAACTTTGTCACAGTGACTAATTCACATGCATTCATACAATTTTAGTCATATAAAATGTAAAATTTTTAAAAGGAGCCATGCACCCAAACCCCAGCCATAGACCCAACCATCACTAGATTAGCCACTAATCAAAAAGTTACGAATTGGCATGAGATGGCATTGGCCATATCACAGTGCTACTTCTGTGATATCATATTGAATAATTGATGCACCATACCTCAAAATTAACATCAGAACAACATTTGCAGTCACAAAACGGTCCCAAAATCTTCAGAACTGGTTCTTTTCTCTCATTATGAATGATAAACTTTGGCAGATAAGGATGCCAGCTTTGTGTAACATAACCAAGAGGGCTGCCTGAAGGGCTATGAACCTCCAGCTGAAATATATAAGACATTATTAACACAGTAAAACAGAAAAAATAGGTAATTATTACAATTTTGATATATGGGTGCAAAGCACAAGAATCAAAACATGCATAGTGGTGTTTTGTAATGTACCTCTTGAAGACAGCAAGGGAAGAAGCAACTACTGCACTTAAGGGGACGAGATAAAGTCATCACTTCCTGTCCCATGTTATCCTGGATATGTAGCAGGAAGGAACGCACAGATCCACAAAACATACGACTGCAAAAATGGCTCTCCTCAGCGGCAAAAAACACCTGCTGCCCTAAACTGTTTTTCACCACATATTGATTATTGGTCTCCCATCCCATGAGTACTGTAAGGGAAAGAGAACATCTGTGTTCATATACCAAGAATTAAAAGGTGTTTCTTCCGCAATCAGTGAACAAAGATTACCTTCCATTAGTTCCACTTTCTGATGAACTAGAAGCTGGTCAACCTGTGATAAGCAGGGTGTATTGTTATATCTTGAAATATAGTGGGTTTGTTTTTATGTTTACATAGAGTGGAGAACAAAATAAACTCTATACAGGCTATTGATTTCATTGACTCTAGTAAATCTGCAACAACCAGACATTTCCAATCAGGTTTAAATCGGGACTCTAGACAACCCATCTGATTATTTTAGTGTTTTCAACTTCATGGAACTGCAAATCTGTTTTGCTGTTTGACCGGGGGTTCATTTTCCTGTATAAACATCCCACATAGCAAAAATTCTCTGGCCCAGCTCTGGCCCACACAATCAGGTTTTGCTTGGCCCACATGCCGCAGTGAATTACGGTACATGACTGGACCAAATCTGGCTTCCAGACAAGGGCCAAACATGGACCATACCTGGGTCAAGTCTCAGCCAAGTTAATAACTCATAACTGGGCCTGAACTGGGCCAGATAGGTTGGTGTGTCACGATTGCAATGAAATTGATAAACCCATGGAGTGATGCGCTTTAGGCACACTATGGGCACGCTTTTTCTCAAAGTGACCTGATTGGTAGAATTTTTTTTCTTTACTCAAAAATGATTTTAGTGTATTTTAAATGTGGGTCAAGACTGGCCAAACTCAAATGGCCCACTTATTAAATTTTTAAATCTGGGCCAAATACTACGTTTTTCATCTGGCCCAAATCTTGTGTGCTGCCTTAAAGACGGTGCCACCTCTGCCAAACCCGGGCCATGTTTGGCCCACATGAAGTATGCCAGTGCCGGATGAATGCCTGCTGTGCCAGCTTTATGCCAAATCTGGGCCAGAATTCTTTGCTACTAGGGATGGCTTGTTGCATGGTGAACACAGGGAGGGAACTGCAATTTGTTGAAGAAGCTTATGATAAACAGTTGCATTCACTCTGCCGATGAAAGGTTTGGTTACTAAACTGTGGGCTGTTCAAATTTTTATGTTGAACCAGTCGGACATTGAGATCCTCTGCATTATCATGTCCTCTCAAGCATTTGTCTTTCATCGAAGACCAGTCTTTCTGTGGGATTTAAATGAGTTAGTGACATTGTATAGATGCAATTTTCCATAAATCAAATCAAAGATGACTCATCTGGACAACCTGCTATCGGAGTCTTTCATTCATTTTAGAACATCGCCCATCTTGCAAATCAGTGAAAACTGTAAGGTTAGTAGACCAGTTGAACAGGATTTGTGAGTTTTTAATCACCAGGTCCTTGATTAGCATCAGTGACTTTGAGGTATTTAAAGGAGAAGGGTCTGGCTGCAGACTACTTGTAATGTTTTAATGTGCACACCAAACCCTCTCCCTAACCTTACCCCTCACAGTGACGTCACTAGCTCTGTTGAGTGCATGTGTCTAGGGCCTTGTTTACAAGTTTAAAAGTTTTACTTTTAAAACGCATAAGTTTTGCCACGGTTATGCTTTCAGTCTACACTGGTTTTTGAGAACGTTTTGGAAACGCTGAGGAGGCCGTTTTTTGTTTTAAAATGTTTTTGCTTCATGTCAGTGTGGATAAGGGAAAATGGAGACATCTGAAAAAAATCTGAAAAAAGTCGTGGCTGCAAGGCAAGGCAAACTTTATTTATAGAGCACAGCTTTTTACAACCGTAGTTGATCCAAAGTTCTTTACAATGAGATAAAATATTTAATAAAATAAAATAAAATAAAACTTGTATTAAAAATGTAAGAAAAGGAAATTGATGGATGGATCGACAAAAGAAACTGATCATGGGACCTTAATGGTCTACAAGCTGTATATGACCTAATAAGCTTGCTGACATTTATATGTTATTTGCTTTATATGTCAAAAGAAAGATTTTAAAATCATCTCTGAAATTTTAAGGAAGCCAGTGCAATGAGGCGAGGACAGGGGAGATATGATCTTTTTTCTTAGGCTCCGTTTACACTAATGCGTTTTAGTTTGAAAATGCATAAGTTTTGCTACGGTTGCGCCATCCGTCCACACTACGCCGGAATTCTCGAGCGCCGAAAACGGAGCGTTTTGAAAACGCTATAGAGGCCGTTTTCATTCTAAAATGCTGCTGTCTGTTTTAAATCAATGTTCGTTTTTATTTGTATGTAGTATATAATAATGCATTATTTTCTCACAATCTAACAGCCTTTCTTCAGTTATTCCTATTCAAGTGTAACACATCACTGAAACAATGTCTTTACATTTAACCAAATGGATTTTAATACTTTTATTAGAGAACCAAAAAGTCTGTGACCTATAATTCTTATTCAACAGTTCACCATGATAATGAAAGCTACTCTTGAGATCACTTTTTATTAAAAGAAGCAAAAGTTTTAAGAACCTCAAGGGTTAAGAATGAGATAACCCCTCTAAAGACGGAGGTGGATCAAACAAATTATATTTAACACAAAATTATCAGTTCCCTCTCCAAACATGCACCAGTGTGCCAGAGATCAGAATGCCCTTTATTACCCAGGAAGTGCCAGATATCTGTTTACTCTGAAAACATCTAGATAAAGGGATGTTTACATTTCAAAGGAATGATTACCCTACACCCACTTCAGAACAGACAAATAACACTCTTTCTATATAGAGTCCATACAAAAGCCTTGCTCTCTACAATCCCTTGAGATTTGTAATATAAAATTGGGAAGTAGCTAAAGTATGTCAGCGTTATGAATGATGGAGACATTTCTGGAGAAATAAATGAGGAGCAGATGTAGGATAAAGTATAAACAAACTTATCAAAAAAAAAATAGAAATACATACACATAAACTTGGGATAAGAATAGAGATACCAGGCCAACGGAAAGACCAGACTAGACACCAAGCAATAGGTAACACAGAAACAAAATACACAAACTAATCAAACTGAAACAGGTCCTGGGGTCAAAACACAGGTTACATAAGAAACACTTATTCAGGTGGGAAAAGAAATAGAGGACTAAGACACAACTGAATCAACTGAACAGGCACATCCTCATGCCATCAAGTATACGGTTTGGAGTGGGGGCAGGGTAGAATGAGGTCAAGGAACTTGGGAACTGAACTGGAGGCAACTGGGCTAGACACCAGGCTGGGATATGCATGATTGGAAGTTTGGGCTGGAATCAGTGGGGCTGGAAGTTTAAGCTGGGACTTGCAGGACTGGAAGCTTGTGCATTGTCAGCAGGTCTAGGAACTGAGGCTGGTATGATGAGGAGCTTGCGTGTTGCCAGAACTGGGACCAGCAGGGCGAGGAGCTTAGGTTGTGCCAACAGGTAGAAATCATTACTGGCTGCCACTCTTGGATTGAAGCTATCACTGGCAGGGGCTCTGGGGCTGGAGCCCACAATGGTGAGCACTCTGGGGCTAAAGCCCACACTGGACTAGGCTCATGAACTGGAGCCAACACTGGACTTGGCTCTGGGACTGAAAACAACACTAGTGTAGGCTCGGGGACTGGAACCAACACTTGATTGGGCTCAAGGATTAGAGTCAACACTGAACTGGACTTTACAACTGGAAACAACACTAGATTGCTAGCTACATCAGGGATAGAGTAGGTAATGCCTAGAGTAGGTGAACTTGGCTCAAAACAAAAATGTCCTCCAGGGACCCATTACAAAAAATTCCACCTTAAGTACACCCAGTTCAGTTCAGCCTTCTTCCAAATGCTCAGGAGAGCTCTGATATCTTCAGCTGACCAGTACAATCTGCATGAACTTAATGTTTGTGCATGACTGCAAAACTAGCAAAATGGGCTGGCTCAGGCAAACTCAACTTTGCTTTCACCCCTCCAAATCCTAAGTCACACACTTTGGTCCAAGGCTAGCACTTAGAAAGCCACAATCGATCCCTGGAAGCTACTGTGGAAACAACTTTTTTTCTTATTCAATTCAGTTGTGAAATTGCTCAAATGACACATCAAACACACGCGGATCCATTCATTCATTCGTTTTCTTGTCGGCTTAGTACCTTTATTAATCCGGGGTCGCCACCGCGGAATGAACCGCCAACTTATCCAGCACATTTTTACGCAGTGGATGCCTTTCCAGCCACAACTCATCTCTTGGAAACATCCACACACACACTCATACACTACAGACAATTTAGCCTACCCAATTCAACTGTACCGCATGTCTTTGAACTGTGGGGGAAACCGGAGCACCCGGAGGAAGCCCACGCAAATGCATGGAGAACATGATGCAAACTCAACATAAAAAAGGCCAACTGAGCCAAGGATCGAACCAGCGATGCAGCGACCTTCTTGCTGTGAGGCAACAGCACTACCCACTGCGCCACTGCATCGCAGATGCTTCTGCAAAATTACTAGTTTTTCCTCTATTTCTTGGGTCCAAATAGACCAAAAGAAGCACTTAATTTCCCCCCTAGTCTCCCGCGGGCCTGCAGCTACCCATACTATTGGATGTTGCTCTCTCGTTGGCTGTAGGTAATAGTCGATGTTATTTTTAAATCTGAAAACATTTCACACAGCATTTAGCTTGCAAAATATCTGATGGGGTTGGCGACTCATCGATGATTCTCTCAGATCGTGTCTTTGATAGTTCACACTGTGTGACTGTCACTCATGTGAACAGGCACTGATTTACTTGTGATTTCAGGCATTTGTCGGCAATTTCTCAAAACTTGTCAGCGAGTCAAAATCGGAGCTAAAATCATAAAATCATGCAGTCTAAAATCGGCTTCAGACTCAACAGCTTTGGAAGGTAGTCCAGGATAATTCTTCCAGGTAGTAGCTATTGCGTGCGCAGATGCACCGGTATCACGTTGCAACACGAGAATGTCCTCATATTCAACTGGGTGTTGAAATCCTAACCATCCATCCATGCCAAATGAAATGGGGATGAATTTCTATTTGCTTCCAGTCCAATGCCTAAAGTTCCTAGGGAAGCATGGCCATCACTTGACTCTGACTGTGCAACCACCCAATGGAATAAAACTAACAAACATGTGCATACCTAGTACCTGCTGGCTCTTAAAAGAGATTACAAAAATTTCTGTATTTATGCACAAGAGGAAGACTAGGAAGAAGGTGGACCTAATGAATAACCATGACAACAAACAAGGGCAACTACTAAGATAAACAAGGAAGCTCAGAAAATCAACGGAAAATCAAGAACTAAACACAGGAAAAGAACTGGCAGAGAAACAGTGACTAAACTTCTACACAAAACGAAACAAAACAAGAGTAGCAGTCTGTTGGTTAAATGAGAAGGAGTTTAGGTTGGTTGATTCCACACACTTCAACCAATAAAGTCAAAAGTCATTGACAATTCTAAAAAAGAAACATGGAATTAAAGACCTCCACAAAAAAATTAATCACTTTTTGACTCGGGTTGATAAAACTGGATGTGCTTACATGCTAACGTGCACATCATGTGTGAGAGCGCGTGTGAGTGTGTTTACTTAATCCTGACAAATTAGGGATGTAAATTTTTTGTATTTTGTGATTTACATTGGTTTTGGTTTTACGCTTTCAAATTGTCTAGTTGGAACTTGCTGGCTGGTGTCCATTTTTGATATTTTACCTTTAGAATCTATTTTACTTTGTATATTTTACCTTTAGGCTTTTCATTTTTATGCTCGGGACTGGAGCGAACACTTGACTGTGCTTGAGGACTGGAATCAACACTGAACTGGCCATGATGACTGAAAACAACACTAGATTGCTTGCTTATTCACATGGCTAATCCTTAAAAAACTTACGCATTTCTTTGCCAAAACGTGTAGGTTTTTATATACAGTTGAAGTCAGAATTATTAGCCCCCCTTCGAATTTCTCTTTTAAATATTTCCTAAATCATGTTTAACAGAGCAAGGGAATTTTCACAGTATGTATGATAATATGTTTTCTTCTGGAGAAAGTCTTATTTGTTTTATTTTGGCAAGAATAAAAGCAGGTTTTAATTTTTTCTAAACCATTTTAACGTCCAAATTATTAGCCCCTTTAAGCTATATTTTTTTTCGATAGTCTACAGAACAAACCATGGTTATACAATAACTTCCCTAAATACCCCAACCTGCCTAGTTAACCTAATTAATCTATAGGTAAGATTTTAAATTTCACTTTAAGCTTTGTAAAAGTGTCTTGTAAAATATCTAGTCACTGTCATCATAGATCAAATAAATCAGTTATTAGAAATGAGTTATTAAAACTAACATGATTAGAAATGTGTTGAAAAAATCTCTCAGTTAAACAGAAATTGGGGAAAAAATAAACAGGGGGGCTCATAATTCTGATTTCAATTATATATATACAGTATATACAGTGCATGAAATAAATATTGTAGTGAGAGATGAACGGCTCACTTCACTGAAACCATGATTCATGTTAATCACCTGGGTTAGGTACTCTAGACCAACAGGACAGCCCATGGGTCTGTCCAAGACTGGCATAACTGCCGGTACCTGAGGCGCCACATAACCTGCAGCAGAGAATGCTGTTAGTATAACACTCTACCAACATATTATTCATAAATTAAATTTTAAAAAATGTTTTACTTTACAAATTACATAATAAGGACAAAGCAGGGGTCCCTGTATGTATCCCAGTGTGGGAAGACTTTAGGTCTAATGTGATAATGTCTTATAACACAGTTTAAAAATTCTCAGCAGGTTCTTTTTGTAATATTGTACTTTTGTCCGTAGTAACCACTGTTTACATCCTGGCTTTACATTTAGTAGGCCTACCAGTGATTGTTTGTAATATGTGTTTGTATTATTTTGTCATGAATCAGAAGAAAACAATACAAAAACTTCACAAATACAAAAAAAAAAACGTTTTACCTCAATATTTGCAGATTCATTTCTTACCTGTTGGTGGTGTAGTGTAAACCTCATTTACTCCAGGAGGATGACCAATGGTATACACTATGAAAGAAAGAGAACATTTGATAAACTGATGATCAGATATCTGTAAGTGTAACTGTTTAGTTAACTTTTAACATCAAGTTAAAGACAATAAAAAAAATCTTTAATAAATGTTATATACACTTTGTAAAGTGTATGGGCCCTATCATACATCCGGCGCAATGTGGCACAAGGCGCAACGCAATTGTTGTTTGCTAGTTTCAAGAGTCAAGAGTCGTTTTGACGTTTTGCACCACGCTGTTTAAATAGCAAATGCCTTTGGGCTAATATGTGCGCCCATAGGCGTTCTGGTCTTAAAAGGGAGGCGTGTTGAAGTCAGTGGCGTAGCGCAAAATGCGGAGGCCCCCCTGCAGGGATCACCGACGGGGCCTCTCATAATTTTTTTTTATTATGAAAATTTTTATTTGACATCACTTTTCTACATTGATGGATCACTTATCGCACGGGCATTCCTGACAAAAAGCTTGTGTTTGTGTTTATGGAAATGTACTATTCACTCTCCCTGTTAAATTTGATCTAATCATGTGCTGAAATACAGCTCCTCTCCTGCTTTCACTTCTCATACTGACGGAGGGAGCGATTCGTTTGTGAATGAATCTCCGTTATGAACGACTCGTTCGTTAGCCGACAATAATACAAGTTTCTGGCACCGCAGCATCTCTTTGTCATATTTCTTTTGCATTGTTTGCTGATTTATTCAACAAAACTAGCATAAACTGAGTATTTAGTGCGAGTTGGTGCTACTTTGCCTTATGGTGAATGCAGTAAGTGACTATAGCTATTATTATCAATAACGTGACCTGATTAGCACAAATTTCAAAACATACAAAAACGTAAAAAACTTAATCCTATGAAATGTTCTGCCTTTGTGCTTTGTTTTCTTTGTTTGCTCGCTACTACACTCGTAGACAGCGCTTAAGTCCAGCATCTTCACGTAATAACACTGTCCTGACTAGTGCGGTTGAATGACATTTGTCTAGTGTATATATCTGTGTCACAAATTGAGGAGCGGGGAAAGGAGGCGGGGTGGCGTGACAACGCGGGGAATCCTTCACAAACTGAGGAGCGATCACAAACCGAAAGTGGAAAGAGTGTCAAAGTAGCCAGAAGTCATTCATTTTTTAACGAGAACCGGCGGCGAGAAACAGCGGCGCGTCTTCATTGGCTATGACGCAGTTCGGCGGCAAGCAATCAGAATGAAGTAGTCCACCGCTTGAGCGGAGTTCAGAGAACACAGACCTGTAAACGTTGGTTCCGACCACAGTTGTTCCCAAGAGTTTGATTATTGCGGTTCCTGGATTTTCAATTATTAAAAATCGCGATGACGTGGGGCCCCCTAATCACGCGGGGCCCCCCCGCGGTGCGTGCCCTGCGGGCCCGTCCGCTACGCCACTGGTTGATGTGTATTGCTGGCGTGTTGCTATTTTAAGAAACTATAATAGTCTCGCTTACGAACTGCTTAATACACACAAGATGTAGAGCATTACGCAAATATCTTTACATTTGAATAAAAAATATTAGGAATATATATAGGATATAATACGGATATATATGATATAAATATAAAGGATTAAAATATTACAAAACATATTATTTTCTAGCCTACATAAATATAAAAACTACTGCCTTCATGCCTTCTTCTTCTCGGTAGGCTTTTTAAGTTCATTCATTACAATTTGCTTTTGTATAATGTTATCATTTATTATATGCTATTTATATTTGTTTTATAAATAACAACCTTATATTTGCCCACCTGTCAGGTTTTAGACCAAATGGGGCACAGCATGTGTTTTAGGATATAACTCAGTTTTTTGACCACACTTTGGTATTATTGATCATTTATTAGTTTGCTGGAAATTAGAACTGAATTTAGAAAGGGAATGGTAGATGAGACTCTGATTGGTTTATTCTCAAAAACACACCCATAACTTATTAATAAAATAATCTCAACCGTTTTAGACCATGCGCCACAAGGCAAAGCGGATTTTTCCGTTCTTATATTAGCAAAAGTGGATTCTGACACGCCCTGAATGCGTTTGCGCCCTGCGCTCTGCACTTTGCGCATGGACCGTCAAAATAGAGCCCTATGTCTTTTTCATGAGTTTAACCGCACTAAAATTTAGTATTATATGTTTAAATGCAAGTACACACTTGCTAGGACAGGGAAAATTTGAAGTGTAAAAATTTGTATAGCTGAAAGTGAAACTCTCACCAGGGGGCATGGGCACATTGACTCCAGGAGCATTTACACCTTCTGTCTGACCTACAAGAAAGAAAGAAAGAAAGAAAGAAAGAAAGAAAGAAAGAAAGAAAGAAAGAAAGAAAGAAAGAAAGAAAGAAAGAAAGAAAGAAAGAAAGAAAGAAAGAAAGAAAGAAAGAAAGAAAGAAAGAAAGAAAGAAAGAAAGAAAGGTCATCATTTAAAATAAAAGTCTAAAAGTCTAAAAGTGAAGAGCGGGGTGAGGTTCGGCACGGGCCCTTGATAATGTTTTAGGGGCTCCCCTAAATGTATGGGCCCTTAGATTCGTCCTAACTCACCCCCCAGCACCCAGTGTGGTCTTTTCCTGCTGTTGCCTATCCGCCTCAAGCAGGGGTGGCCAACCCTGTTCCTGGAGAGCCACTTTCCTGCAGATTTCAGTTGCAACCCATATCAAATACACCTGCCTGTAATTATCATGTGGTGTTCATGTCCTAATTAATTGGTTCAGGTGTGTTTGATCAGGGTTGCAACTGAAATCTGCAGGAAGGTGGCTCTCCAGGAACAGGGTTGGCCACCCCTGGCCTCAAGGTTGGATGTGTTGTGTGTTAGGAGATGCTCTTCTGCAGACCTCAGTTGCAACTAGTGGTTATTTGAGTTACTGTTGCCTTTCATGGCACCAACAACCATGCCACGTTCAAAGTCACTTAAATCACCTTTCATCCCCATTCTAATGCTTGATTTAAACTGCAGCAGATCGTCTTGACCATGTCTACATGCCCAAATGCTGTGAGTTGCTGCCATGTGAATGGCTGATTAGATATTTGCGTAACAAGCTGGACAGGTGTACCTAATGAAATGGCAGGTGAGTGTATATTCATAACACAAAATGAGCCTGTGTTAGCATAAGCCTGTTTCACACCGCAAGCATGAGCAGAGCATGAGCAGTGCGTGATTTTTTCGACGTCTATGTTAGCAGAGCTTTCATACTGCACGCAGAAGCAGCCCACCAGTGCAAGGTGCAAGAATTTTCGGCACTGGGTCTATTTTCGGCGAGCTGCTCATTCTCAATTAAAGTGACAGTGCATGGATAATGACCAAAAACATATTGAATGACAGTAAAAAGTAGCTATTTTACACAGTAAATGCATCAATAATATCTACTGATTTTTATATAGTCAATTAAACTAACTTAAACTATTAAAAACGGCAACAAATATTTATTTGGGCCGGAACTACAAAGCCAAATTTAAAACAATTTTAGTATTAGCTTTGCTTAATAAGTTGCAGACTAGTTTGATCATGTATAAATATCATTATAACGATATTGTATAAATATTATTATAACTATAGGTCTACATCATCCTGACAATTAAAAAAAAATGACACAGTATCACAGGCATTTGTCTTCTGACCGAGTGCACCTTAAAATGCATGAATGACACTCCTCATAGAGCTTGAGAAGCATGCAGTTCTTTAGGATCACTACAATTTGTAGATAGTTAACTAGATAGAATAGAGAGTGATAGATTGATTCGTGCAGCAGCTACCGATGAGCTACGCACTACAGACACAGTCAGCGTAGAAGGCAAACGCCTGCGTGCTGCTTTTGCTCTCCATACGCTCTTCGCATGCGCTGCTTACGCTCTGCTTGCGTTTGTGGTCTGAAACAAACACAAGTTACAGCTGAAGACGGTTGGTTTTGCACTTTTAAAAGGGACAAAGATTTTTTAATTTAAGATTGTTTATGTTTTAACATTATTTAACATTATTTAAATTAACCACAAAGTTCCTGGATCTATTTGAGTCTACATAAATCATGTGATGGTCAAACATTTTGGGCCTCCGTTGTTGCAACTCTCTATGGCTCTTCGAATAACTTATTTTGGAATGTCATGATTGACCAATTAGAATCAAGGTTTCTAGACAGCCTTGTCAAAAGCACATTTAATCACTTTTAAATACCTTACCTTGCAAAAACATGATGAGAACGCAATGCTCCTCAGTACTGAAAAAAAAAACAGAAAACATTTATTTTTTCCAATGTGAGTTTCCAGTAGGTATTCCAGACTGATAGCCAGCTTGGTGAAAGGGATAACAGTCAAAATAGAACAAACGAGCTCATGTATATGGCAAATTTGTACTTTTGTCAGTGGGAAGATGGTGGGTCTTTCAAACCACCTGAACCCCTCTGGCTATGGGCCTGTGTTCAGAGTTTCCACAATAGCAACTAGTCTATTCAGATTCAATGAACCTTTAAATGTCAGAAGTACTGAAAAAAGCTAGCCGCTACCCCTATAATGGTTTAACCCAGTGTTTCTCAACTGGAGGGTCGCGACCCACTTTTTCAGTGGGTTGCAGAGTGTGTGGTCAAAAAAACAACAAATGTTTTATTTTGAACCTATTTTGCTTAAATAAGACTTTTATTTTGAAATGCGCGAGCAATAACTGTACCGTTTGACATGTGAAATTTCATTTAATTATAGCAACAAATATGTCAAAGCGCAAGTACGACCCCGAATATGTAAAGTATGGATTTACATATATTGATGACAAAAAAAGGCTTAAAACCTCAGTGTGTCATACGTAGTGATGTGCTCTCACAAGAGCACTTTTAGAAACCAAACATTTGTCATTTTTTTCTTTTGTAATATTTTTTATAATGTGAGACATTTTGTTAAATGACAATAATAAAATATTGTTTATTTGTAAGTCTTGGTGATTTTCTTATGATTTATCTGTCACTACTTGTGTATGTTAATAAATAAATACAAATTAATTATAATTCCTAAAATTATATTATAGTCCTAAAAATTTGGGCGGCCGGTTGATGACCATTTAAAAATGTGGGTCCCATGGCCAAACCAGTTCAGAACCACTGGTTTAACCTATCTGCAAATGTTTAAGACATCAATTAAACAGCGATCAAAACTGTGAGAAGCTTAAATTATTCATGTCCTCATTCAGGGATATTGCTGAGGGTGTCATTGTACTTGGCGGAAAGGTGTGAATGTAGGCCTATTCTGTTACATCTTGGGATGTGTTTGTGTAGTGGCTAGACTGCTTGAAATTATGCTCTGATGATCTGAACATACAAGGGCACCTGCAGGACAAGCCATGCATTTTTGTGAATCATTGTTTAAACCTTTTTCTATGTATACATGTATAAATATCTTCAACAATTGTGCAGCTATTCCAGTAAAAACTAGCCTACAGCACGAATTTGCAAGTGTAGTGATGATGCATCGGTTTCTCTTTATCATTCATAGCGGAGTTTTCTTCTCCTATGAAAAGATCCTGCTTCTTAATTATTCATGAGAGCACATGCTTTCTTAAAGGTGGAGTAGGTGATTGTCTTCAGAAACATTTTTTTTTGCGCTGGTTGAAAGTCTCTTCACAGTCAGGGCCGGCGCGTCCATAGAGGCGATCTAGGCGGCCGCCTAGGGCGGCAATATAGAGAGGGCCGCGTCCATGACACCTCCCTTACCACCCGCGTCCTCAGTTATGTCCGCGACACCTCCCTCACCACCTCAGACTCAGAAATATACGTGCATAGGCGACAGAATAGAGAGGTCGGCGTCACTAACACCTCCTTCAGCACCCGCGTGTCCTCAGTTATATCCGCGCATAGGGTGGCAGAATAGAGGTCCGCGACACCCGCGTGTCCTCAGTTATATCGACGCAAAGGGCGGCAAAATAGAGAGGGTGGCGTCCGCGACACCTCCCTCCCTCAGCACCTGCGCGTCCTCAGTTATATCCGCGCATAGGGTGGCAGAATAGAGGTCCGCGACACCTCACTTCATTTTCATAACCGTTCACTTTCGTTTCCACTTTGGGGTTGAGGGCGGCGTGATCGTCCTCTGCCTAGAGCGGCATTTTAGCTTGCTCCGGCCCTGTTCACAGTCCAATAGTAATGATTACAGTAAATGATCTAAATGTGTTTAAATGTATTTTTATATTCTAGGTAAAGCATAAAACAAAAAAACGTTCATCCAATTAAATAAAGTCGGACCGACATCTCCAATAATTCCGATTAGCAGGTCAGACTGTCTGTCAGCATATGTAGATTCGGACTTCTGCGCATCTGTTCACGCAGATCCGCCATTAGCGCGTGCCCGTCTGCATCAAAAACGCATGCATGCGCGCGAGCGAGCCGATGCCGAGTAGGAGCCAGAGGCGCCGAAGGACAGACGAGCTCGGGCTGATTACTGTAAAGCCAGGCGCGAGTATAATTTGCCCGAGGAAGGACGACACCATGGCTGAAATATTACTGTTAGACTGGTAATGTTGTTTTAAAACTTAGTCAGGCTAAGCTTATGTTAGATTGTGTTGTGTTATGAATGACTTATATGCACAGATGTGTTGCTCAGCCACTGAAATCTCCTGGTGAAAGATTGATGTGATTATTTTCAGTTTCATAAGGTCCTTTGTCAGCATCTATAATGTAGATTTATATTTAGTTTAACAACAAAGCATCAGTAAATAGCGCTATTCCGCCTAACCTGCTTTACTGAGCTGAAGTTGCTTTTATATTCACATTGTGTCATTTTTGATCAATGACAGCCTTCCTATACTGTTTACCATGCGACTCTGAATATTCGCTTTCAAATAGCATGTAAGTGTGGCAAAGTAATAAATGTAATTCCTGCACGTCGCTGCCACTAACTGACTGGCGAATGACATGAACTAGTGGGTTGTCTGTCTACTGTTGTGACGCGGTGCGCACGCTCGCGATTTCAGGGTGTGGCTTTGAATCACAGTCCCTCCCAGCCGTCCAAAGATAATATGCTAAGCGGTTAGCATTTTAGCAAATTACCTACTGCACCTTTAAGGCAAGACAGATCTGCCAAGCTGAGACCCAACCCACATAGCAAAATTTCTCTGGCCCAGCTCTGGCCCACACAATCAGGTTTTGCTTGGCCCACATGCCGCAGTGAATTACGGTACATGACTGGACCAAATCTGGCTTCCAGACAAGGGCCAAACATGGACCATACCTGGGCCAAGTCTCAGCCAAGTTAATAACTCATAACTGGGCCTGAACTGGGCCAGATAGGTTGGTGTGTCACGATTGCAATGAAATTGATAAACCCATGGAGTGATGCGCTTTAGGCACACTATGGGCACGCTTTTTCTCAAAGTGACCTGATTGGTAGAATTTTTTTTCTTTACTCAAAAATAATTTTAGTGTATTTTAAATATGGGTCAAAACTGGCCAAACTCAAATGGCCCACTTATCAAATTTTTAAATCTGGGCCAAATACTACGTTTTTCATCTGGCCCAAATCTTGTGTGCCGCCTTAAAGACGGTGCCACCTCTGCCAAACCCGGGCCATGTTTGGCCCACATGCTGTATGCCAGTGCCGGATGAATGCCTGCTGTGCCAGCTTTATGCCAAATCTGGGCCAGAATTCTTTGCTACTAGGGAATGACTGGGAGAGACCGCGTGGTATGAGTCGTGAAACCACTGTCACTTTACAGACTCTTTACATTTATATTATGAACACAAAACAATTTTATATGAAAAGTAAGTAAACAGGAGGAAAATATGGTGAAATCAATATGCCGAAATAATCCTGTTACATGAACTTAACCAATTTGAGTAAACGAAGCAATTTGAGCACAGTAAAATAAGTAATGAGGTATTTAATTAACTCATTGCCTTTAACACTACGTTCAAAACTCTTTTCAAATGAGTAGAATTAACTTTCAGTACATTTTGAGTTAACTACACTCATTTCATTTGATAAAGTTGACTGTTGGGTTTTACAGTGCATGAAAAATGTTATCGTGAAGCATCCTTTAAAACATTCATTTAAAAGACAGACCTGTGAGGGGTGTACTTATTTATGCTGAACAATGTATAATAAATGACCTGCAATAAACACAGGTGTTCAATTTCATATAATACCATATAATCATGTTTGATGTAAAATGGCCAGCAGCATTTTAAGCAGAGAATTCTTTCTTTATACTTTTTGTTTACCTTTATCCATGCATTAAGTTCTGTATGAATAAAGCATTTCTGAACAATACGACATATGATCCGCGCATCACATTTACGTTCATAAACGTTCATGCAGGTACTCACCAGATTAGATGATGACTGCTCGTAAACACATTGAATATTCCATCATCTCAAGGATCTTTCTGTTCTCATTGTCTCTCAGCGTTCACTGTTATTGCTGTTGCGTTCATTGAAATTGCACCTCCAGAATTAAAAAGGCACTGGCATGCAAACTCCTTTGTTTGACATATTGTAAAGTATCAAGGCACCAGTGACACTCTACACCCCTGGAGAATACCATACTACTTCACCAAGAGGATTAGCAGAGAGGTTGCTAGGCTACTGTACTGACTCACAACAACATATCCTCTGATGCAAAAGTATCAGAAAACTAAATACTTATTATATCACAGGAATTTACGATGCCTAATGGGGTTTACCCTACAAAAGATATATATATATATATATACAACAGTTCTGTCTGGTTCTCGAATCTGATTGATTGATAGCCGTGATATATTTAAGTAATACCAGCGACCGTACAGCCTCTTTGTGTATTACTCCGCCCACATACAGCCAGCAAAAAGCAGACACTAAAGTTTAAAAGACGCTTGCTCAACTGTTTAACTGTCAGCTTATGATTTAAATCCAAGGCGGAAAAAAGTAGTTCCTCATACAAAAGAGTTTTTGAGACTCTCCATGTTTGGTTTTGTTTTTACACAATTATGCCTCAAACTGTTGTATAAACGCAATATCACACTCGTAGCAGTGCGATATGGCTGTATATACACTCAGCCAACACACACCTCTCACCAGTGCCGATATACAGCCATATCGCACTGCTACTCGTGTTATATTGCTCATATATATATATATATATATATATATATATATATATATTTTTTTTTTTTTTTTTTTTTTTTTTATTTTATTTTATTTTATTTTTTTACAAAAAATTCACAAATTTTTTTAGTTCAATTGCTGTTTTTGTTTTGCTTTACTGAAACAATTTCACATTTATTTTGGTCCTGCCAGTATACTCAGGGGCGCAACTACACGTAACTGAGGGGTATGCGGGTTCAAGTTTTGCGCAAGATATTTTTTCCTCATCAACATGCTTCGAACAAATTCATTCGCAGTTCTGAACACCACTGAAATAGTATGAAGTAGTAAAAGTACAATTACACTAAGCCTGTTAAGTCACAAAGAATTACATCAAACACCAAATTTCTTCTCAATTCAATTTTCCTCACTAAAGGAGTATAGCACCTTGATATGCCTTGCTTCTGTACTTGTTGTACATTTGTAAAAACAAAATGATAGATATGGCAGTCCTAAAGGGCAAAAGAACATAAAAATGCAACCATTTCTCATATGCGAGGTGTAAGGTCTGTCTTTGCATTAACAATTAACTGAAACTGCTCTAACACCTCACACAAAGTGAAATAAAAAACACTGTAAAATATTTAATGTAAAAAATAAACAGAGACAAACTGCCTGAAATATCAAAGTAATACATAATAAATTCATAAAAACATGCATATGGTATGAAAATTGATCTTGACAGAAGGATTGATAAACATCTCAATTCCAAAAATTTTGAATATTCTGATTATTTGTTCATGTTTTAACAGGGTTAAGAATGATTACAATCAAGTATATAAAATTTATATAGAGGAATTTTTAATCCAAATATATATTTTTTTATTTTATCTGAAATATATTGAGGTCTGTACTTATAGACATACATTTTGTGTGATCCCTCTGGCAAAATAATTAAATAATAATAAATAAATAAATAATTTCAGATTAATCATAACTTTTGACCTCCACTGCACTGTATGTATGATTTGACAGTTTTTTTGATAAAAATGTTAAAAAGCTACACATTTACATCTACATGAACACTTTACACTTGGCTGTGTGAATGCATGTTATTGTTTTAATTAGTTTTGAATTAAAACGTGTGTGCCAACGTATGCAACTCATGGTATATTTTTTTATTTAATAAAATACAATATTATACTCGTATTAAAAGCAAAATAAACATTTTTAACGAAACATATTTATTTAGTTTTATTATTTGAAACTTTTAATACGGATAATTTCAAGAATCATTTTGACACAACGGCGCCCCCCCATGTGTGGCGCCCTCAAGCGCCGCATATACACCTCCTTTTTGCGCCTCTGAGTATACTCAACATTTTTGGAATGATGTAAAATTTTTCAGTATTTAAATAAGAGTGGTATGATAAAAAAAAAAGTTATATATGCGTTAGATCGTTTAGATGAAAATAGTCAAATTCTTTAACATAATTAATTCATGGAAAAATATGAGCTAAATGTTCTTTTAGAGAATTTAATACTCAAGTAAAGCTATTATCATTGCTTTAAAAAAATATACACAATACTGTAACATGTTTAAATGTAGGCTATCTACTAAATTACCTAAATTAAAGATTGGAGGTATCAAAGACAAAAAAAAGAAAAAGGTAACTGGGCATATTTTAAAAAGTAAATTATCTTTAGACTTAATGCACGATTAAAAATATTTTTTGTAAATATTTTAAATGGCCAATTTTACCGAAAATAAAATATATTCAATTAATAATAATAAATAATACATATCAAGCAGCAGAAATTTTACGAGAAAAAATTTTGATTTGAGGTAGAGCCTTGTGTTTTCTGTTCAGAAGAGCCGGAAACTATTGAACATTTATTTTTCTTTAGTCTAGTTTTTTTTTTTTGCTAGATCTCTGCAGTTGGCTAAATAATAATATACATACTGAAATTCCATGCCTAAATTTGATTAAGGTTTTGGTTTACATAGATAGTTTCCCCCCAAAACATTTTTAATTGATGTTTAACCTTATTATTATTATTATTATTATTATTATTATTATAGGTAAATTCATTCATTTATTTTCTTTTAGGCTTAGTCCCTTTATTAATCAGGGGTCACAACTTATCCAGCAAATGTTTTACGTAGCGGATGCCTATCCAGCCACAACCCGTGTTGGAAACACCCATACACACTCATTTACACACACAGATACGGCCAGTTTAGCTTATTCAATTCACCTGTACCAGATGTCATTGGACAGTGGAGGAAACCGGAGCACCCGGAGGAAACCCACGCAAACACAGTAAGAACAAACAAACTCCACACAGAAATGCCAACTGACCCTGACCCTGGCTCGAACCAGCGACCTTCTTGTTCTGAGGCTATAGTGCTACTGTGCCACTGTGACGCTCCATTAGGTAAATATCATATACAAAAAAGTAAAATGAATAACAGAAAATGTATGTAAATCTCATTTAGAGTCTTTAAAAATAGTATCCAAGGAGAATAAGGCTCTTGAGAAATTTTACAAAACTATCTCTGAGTCTTTTTCTTAAAAATGTAAAATCTTTTAAAAATCTTTTAAAAATGTAAAAAAGAAACATTTTTTCTCTTGTAGGTGACCAAAAGTTTTATTAATATATAGGTTATGTATTAAAATACATACAGTTGAAGTCAGAATTATTAGCCCCCCTGTTTATTTTTTCTCCAATTTCTGTTTAACAGGGAGAAGATTTCTTCAACACATTTCTAAACATACTAGTTTTAATAACTCATTTCTAAAAACTGATTTATTTTATTTTTGCGCCTCACTGCAAGAAGGTCACTGGTTCGAGCCTCGGCTGGGTTAGTTGGCAATTCTGTGTGGAGTTTGTATGTTCTCCCTGCGTTTCCCCTCTATTTGTGAAGTAATAGTATTTATTTACTTACTCCCAGGGCCAGCTAAATTGATATTTAGCTGCATATTGTTGTTTCGTAACATCTATTTTTTTTTTGGGTGGGGAGGGGGACCCCAATCTGGAGGACCAGGACATACACATGCACTACAGACAATTCACCTACATTGCATGTCTTTGGACTTGTGGAGGAAACCCATGCGGACACAGGGAGAACATGCAAACTTCACACAGAAATGCCAACGGATTCAACCAGCAACCTTCTGCAGGCCAAATAAAAGGTTATGGGCCAACTTTGACCCACAGGCCCTTGTTTGGGCATCTCTGCGTTAAAGGAAAAGAAGACAGTAGTAACACTTTCCGTGATGATGAGAAACACAGTGTCAGCTCAGCTACAGGTTTTTTTCACCTCAGCTCTAAGTAGGTGTTTGTGGTTTGTGGTGTTTGTTTTACATTTCAAAAACACACAAAAGTTCAAGGTAACCTTCCTGTAAGAGAGAACCAAATTGTTTTGACAGTTTCCAATTTTTATTAATATTATTTTTTCTTTATCAAGATAAGACAAAATAGACACATAAGATTCTCGTGAAATTGGTGAAAGATTAAAAAAAAGATTGTTGGCAACCTTCATTTTCATAAAGAGAAACCCCCGTTTCCCTTTATTGTTTGTTTTCATAATACATGTTGTGCTGAAAATAAAATAAAATGAGAATTATTAATATTTAATTGTAAACAAGTATTATTACAAATGTTTCAAATGTATTTTAACTAATACTTACAATTAGTATGCAGGCCCCCAGTACAGTAGCTTTCATTTTGACTTGCAGGCTGCTTGGAAACTCCAGCACAAAATTGGCACCAGGATTTGGTCCTGCCCAATATGAAGGATTGATGATCCTGCCAAATGATCTTTCTACTGCTGCCGCGTTTAAAGGCACCAGCTGTTGTCATTGTGAAAAAGGGGATGTTTTTAGAAAGCAGCAATGGATTTGTTGAAGTGGTTGTTTACCCAAAATTTAATACACTATAGCTCATAGACCAATTTAGTTAATCCAATTCACCTGTAGCACGTGTGTTTGAACTGTGGTGTAAACCGGAGCACCCAGAGAAAACCCACGCAAACACAGGGAGAACAATGCAAACTTCACACAGAAATGGCATCTAGCTCAGCCAGGACTCGAACCAGCGACCTTCTTGCTGCGCCCCTTACTAATATACTCAATTATAGTATAATAGCATAATTACACAGTTAACAATCCTGTAGAATCTACACCCTGCCTAAAAATCTAGCTTAAACCAGCCTAGGCTGGTTGGCTGGTTTTAGCTGGTCGATCAGCCTGGTTTTAGAGGGGTTTTGGCCACTTCCAGGCTGGTTTCCAGCCATTTCCAGCCTGGTCTTAGCTGGTCAGGCTGGGAGATGACCATCTATCTACAAGCTGGGCTTCCAGCTAACTCTATCAAGCCTCTTCAACTGCTCCAGAATGCAGCAGCACGAGTTGTCTTCAATGAACCTAAACGAGCACATGTCACTCCGCTGCTAGTCCGTTTGCACTGGCTGCCAGTTGCTGCTCGCATCAAATTCAAAGCTCTGATGTTTGCCTACAAAGTGACTTCTGGCCTAGCTCCTTCTTATCTGCTCTCACTTCTGCAGATCTATGTGCCCTCCAGAAACTTGCGTTCTTTGAATGAACGTCGCCTCGTGGTTCCATCCCAAAGAGGGAAGAAATCACTTTCGCGAACGCTCACGTTCAATCTGCCCAGTTGGTGGAATGAACTCCCTAACATCCCTGCATCAGAACAGCAGAGTCACTCGCTACTTTCAAGAAACGACTAAAAACTCAACTATTTAGTCTCCACTTCACTTCCTAATCTGCAATTGCCTCTTTGAATATCACACTAACTGTACAAAAAAAAAAAAAACTAATACTACTAATACTTCCCTTCTTAGACTTTACAGACCTGAAACTTGCCTTTAGTACTTATTCATTGTTGCTCTTAGTTGTGTAAATTGCTTCCTTGTCCTCATTTGTAAGTCGCTTTGGATAAAAGCGTCTGCTAAATGACTAAAAGTAAATGTAAATGTATAAGAAGGTGTGTTTGAATTAGAGTTTGAAAAGAGTTTTGAACTCAGCGTTGAAGGCAATGTGTTAATTAAATACCTCATTGCTTCAACTTAAATAGAGTAAGTTCACAGTACTCATATAGATTTTTTTTTTTACTTAAATGGTTGGTAGCAATCAGTTTGCTCAAATGGTTTGAGTTGCCTTAACTTATTGGCTTTAACAGTACTCAGTTGGTTTGAGTTCTCTTATTATGTTTTACAGTACTCAGTTGGTTTGAGTTCTCTTCATTTATTGGGCTTTGCTGAGCTCAAATTGCTTAATTTACTCAAATGGATTAAGCTAACAGTACTCATTAGTATTAGTTTTTGGACTTAAATGGTTTGTTGCAATGGATTCACTCATTCATTCATTCATTTTCTTGTCAGCTTAGTCCCTTTATTAATCTGGGGTCGCCACAGCGGAATGAACCGCCAACTTATCCAACAAGTTTTTACGAAGCAGATGCCCTTCCAGCCACAACCCATCTCTGGGAAACATCCACACACACATTCACACACACAATCATACACTACGGACAATTTAGCCTACCCAATTCACTTGTACCACATGTCTTTGGACTGTGGGGGAAACCGGAGCACCCAGAGGAAACCCACGCGAAGGGAGGGAGAATATGCAAACTCCACACAGAAACGCCAACTGAGCCGAGGTTCGAACCAGCGACCCAGCGACCTTCTTGCTGTGAGGCGACAGCACTACCTATTGTGCCACTGCCTCGCCGCAATGGGTTTCCTCAAATGGCAAAACATTTTGGGTTTTACAGTGTACAGTAAGTTTGACAATGCAACTTCAAAATACAGTAACTGTCCAGTACAGTAAAATACGGTTCATAGTATAGTTAAATACTGTGAAATTTACAAAAACGTTAACAGTGTACTTTTACAATAAGTATACGATGAAGGGTTCACGTTTAAATTTACAGAAACTATCTTCAATTCACAGAAGGAAGCATAAAAAATGTGTCACCTCAAAGTTCACATCCGTGCAGCAGGTCCAAAATACAGACGGTCCCATGATCTTAAATTCGGGTTCACCTCGTTCATTCTCAACTGTGAATTTGGGTAAGAGAATGTGCCAGTTTTGACGAACGTAACCAATGGGAGTTCCTGGTGGAGACTGAACCTCCAGCTGAAATATACATACACCATGTCATATACAGCACAGCATAAGAGCTAATAAAGTGATAACAGGCATACCTCATGGCTGCTGCAGCGGGTGCAAACAGACGGGTGCACCAGTCTGATGACCTCACGGTTTAAGTTGTCAGTAACATTCATAACGAAGAAACGTTCAGCGTATTGGCTGCCACAGCAGTCATCGGCCTCTGTGACACTAAAGACTTTGTTCCCACTGTCATCCTTCACTGAATAACTGCGGTTAGGCTGCACTTCACAGCAAACTTAAAGACATTTAAAAATGTTAAACCTATTAAGGGTAGAATATGTTGATCATGATTATCTTGATATTTTATTCAAGAACAAATACCTTCAATACATTCAGGATGGTCTCTGAAGACAAACAACCGCTCAATCTAAATAATAATACAATTTAAGAAAACAACACTAATCCGAAATTAATGCAACTTACTTAGAGACAGTAATGGTGAACATTACACTTAGAAAAAAAACATCTCTTATCTGACCCTGGTCAAGCCTTCCAGCTGAGAAGGATAGTGATATGGATTTGGGGAAGACAGCATTGCGGTGACCTCTAATGGAGACAGACATGTTTCTGGCAACATTACACAATGAATATTTCTTCCCTCTTACACACCTTCATGTCAACACTTTAAACTTCTAATACACATTTCTAACACACCTTTTCATGCTGATAGATATCACCCTGGACCTCAAAATCAGTTGTGTCAATTTTATTATGGAAATTAGGATTGATATAACCTTTAAGATTTATAATTGTGGATAGCAAAATATTTGGTGGAGATAAAACTATTTGAAAATCTGAGGGTTCAAAATTAAGCGATAAAATTGCCTTTAAATTTGTTTGAATTTAGTGGTTAGCAATGCAAATTACTAACAAAAGTCTATACGCATATAGGAAGGTTCTTTTAAACTATATTATTTCTGTATTAAATATTTAAAAACACTTTATACAAAAATGATAAAGTACACTTATTTTTTTATTAAGATAATCTACAGATTTGTTTAGTAAAACAAAACAGCTTACCTGACGAATCCATATCAATGATCTGGAAAAAACAAAAAACAAATAGCAAACAAACAACCAAACAAATGACAGGAATTGGACATAAAAAACAGGAAATCTTTTTTTTACATATGTATTTATAGATCATTAATGGTAAAAAAAATCATAATAAATTCACAATTTAACATGATTTAAAATTACATGGTTTAAAGATTACACTTTACGTACCAGTGAGAGACTGCGGCAGTGGCACTGATGAATACAGAAGTGTTTTTCTCACCGATCTGAACCACCACCACCCCCACCTGAAGTTTGTGGTTAAGCAATTGACCCACTTTTTAGTTGGACTACTCATGGTTAACAAATATAAATGAGTTTTGGTGATCAGTTAAAACTATTTCTTCAACACTATTACTGCCTATTATTATTATTGTTGTTGTTGTTTTTATTTTTTGAAGTGTATATGTTTTGCTCATAGCCTAAGCATTTCAACCACTAAATTCCCACTTCCTAAATGACGAATAACCGTTTTTTTAAAACAGTGCCACAAAATAGCATTAGATGATTAGGTTCTGCTGTTTGTTGAAACAAACAAACAAATTACCATGTTTGATTAGATTTGGTGCTTTTATAATAAACAATAAATTATATTTTTTACATGTAACAGGGAATTACATAAAAAAACACTATGCTGTGTGTGTTGTGTTGTGTTGTGTTGAGTTGTTGTATCTGCACTGTAAATCCCAAAAAGTTAAGGTAACTCATAAAACATTTTGCTGGAATAGTTTGCAGTTCATTACGCTGTGGTGACCCCTGATAAATAAGGGACAACCCCAAAGGAAAACGAATGAATGAATTTGAAAACAACACTTTTTCTGATTAAAGATAAACTCTAATTGTGCGAACATAACACCAAATTCACCACATACGGACGCACATTTAATGTTTATTTAATCAAAATGATAAAGACAGCTTTGTCAAATATGCTATTTTAGTGTGGTTTACAAAAAAAGATGTGCAATTCGAAGGAAGGACTTTTATTTGATTTCTGCCGACCGGAAGTGGGAGTATGATCAAGGCCGCTGCAGTCAGCCCCCTTTTCCTCATTCTCGCACGTAACAGCCATCTTCCTTCAGCTCGAGAAGACTGTTCGTGCAGACATGGCCGACTACTCTAACGTGGCTCCGCCGTCTTCGAACGCCGGTGGAGGGATGAACGACGCATTTAAAGATGCTCTTCAGAGGGCCAGACAGGTGAGTTCTTCAAAAGAGTCCGAATAACGTTAGTTCTTATTTTCGCGTTTGGTTATTCAAAACGAAAGTGTAGCTTAACTCGTTAGCTGACGTGCTAATTTGCGGCCTCGTTGCAACAAAGAGCTTTCGGTAGTGCGCGTTTTCTGTTTTTATTTACCCTCGTATTTGTTTTGAGTTTAGCTGAAGTACATGGTCGTTTTGCAAGTAATAAGATTATTTAGTACACCTTAATATAATATTAAGAGTAAACGGTTAGTTATAACTTCTAAATATTAGTTGTTTACGCGAACCGTGGCTGTTAACGTTACGCACAAACATGTACTCGGAAACAAAGTCGAGACGCTTGCGTTAGGCTTCAAAATATGTGATAAGTGTTTTGGTGTGCTATGTATATGTTTTTATTTGTTTAATTTTATTCTGTTATATGAATTAAGCCTAATTCCTTTTTTATTGTTGGAGGGGATTTGGGTGTACGAGTGTTACCTAACGTTAGTTTTGTGTAGAATCAATAAAGATTCATTGTCCAGTTATATTAAAGAGGTTTGATTGTTTTATTTGACGAAATTTAAGAATGATACATAAAGTTTGTTAAGACGTTTCTAAAACCGTCGAAGATAAAACACACAACAACCCACTGTTTTCCATTGTGGTTCTTGATATTAAAAATAGACGAGGGCATCTTAAATGGAGTGCGAACATTTTTTTTTTCTAAAAGGATATGTCCCGGTATAAGATTCTAACGATATGATAACCTTGGATAAACATATCACGGTGTTGTGATACAACACTAAAATATATTCCTTTTTAAATCTCTGGATTAAAAAAAATATATACTTTTTTCCCCACTTTGAAAACAATATTTTTTTTGACAGATTTGTAATATTTTGGATCAGTAAACATGTATGGCTAAATAATTTAAATGAATCATTGACATCTGCCATTTTCATTAGTTTCAAAAACACAGATTAATTTACAATTTAAAATGTCATCATTGGATGTATATGATACTGTTGTCCTAAAAAGCAAAAAAAAAAAAGTTAAATTTAAAAAAAATCTTACTCGTACTTTAGGAACGGCATTACAGGAAGTTTTAAAACCTTCACTTTTCCAAACCGCTGTATACCTTGAAAACTGTTATTGTCCCATGCCTATAGTCCCTATTATTAGTCCATGTAGAATGACCGTGTATCTCTCTTACTAAAACATAATCAAACCGATACTTTGCTACAATCTTCTTGTAAGGCCTAAATGTAGTGACTAATCTAAAAAATAAATGACCCCTTTTCAACTTTAGAATTTTTTTTTGCTATAATAAACATGTAAATGTGTAAGTGGAGGTATGTTAAAAAAAATTCTTCAACTTATTGTGCGCCATTTGCAATTTATTATTTTTAAACTATTGCTATACGTAAAGGCTGCAGCGTAGTCAAATTGTTGTGATCACATTAGGGATGTGCCGGTATAGGATTGTAACAGTAAGATAACCTTGAATTAAAATATTACAGTTTGACAGTATTGTGATTACTGCTCTAGAATATTTTCTTTTTAAATGTCTGCGTATAAAACTAAAAATAACTTTTTGTTTGATTTGAACGCAATGATTATGTCCGAAATCACATACTTCCATTCTATATAGTATGCGAGCCAAGTAGTAATACGATATCCCATGATACCATACATGAACCAGATATTTTTGGCGTTTTTTTCCGAACTGCAATATACCTTGAAAACAGTTATAGTCTTATGCCTAGATCTCATTTTCTAAAACTCGTTTTAACTCTGTAATTCATAATGTTGTTGTTTTTTTATAGATCGCTGCAAAAATAGGAGGTGATGGGGTACCGCCCTCTCCAGTTTCCAATGACTTTGGTTATGGAGGACAGAAGAGGCCCCTTGAAGATGGAGGTAAGTTCATGGAAATAATGTTGTTGGATGATGGATTAAATGATTAACTAAATTATTTGTTAGTAAAATAATCTTTAAAATTTAAGTGTCTAATGTGACTAGGCAGGTTACACATTTCAAAGTTAGCATATTTATGGAGTATGATAATGATAAATGGGATTTAATGTTCAAAAGCAAGCAGATTTATTAGTAAACGCATGCTTATGCATCCTTCCAAATGTTCTGTGCAAAAATGAAAATGTACTCACTTGAATGCTTATTTTTCTACAAATACACGCACGTAATTATTATTCATTGTGCCCAATTTGTATAAAGTTACTATTATTTAATTATTTTATTTTTTTCTAATTTCACTTTTAACTCATGCTTATTCCTTTTGACTGATTGCGTTTTTGTTTTTAATCTCACATTTCAAATTCTGTTAATAATACAATTATACACAAACATAGTAAAATGACAAGGGTCTACAGGATGGACTTCTTTTTTTTGCGACTATAATATTTTGTTATAAATAATTTTTTTCTTTTACAGATCAACCAGAAACAAAGAAAGTTCCACCAAGTGATCGTAAGCATTGTTATTGTTTTCCAGGCATAGCTTATTACCTTTTAAATGTGCACTTAAATAAAATAACCAATTAAGCGATATAATTAAGTTGTTCGCTGATCTAATAAGTTCATGCTTTCTTTTGTGCAACAGCTTTTTCAGCTGTAATGGGAGGCATGGGTGGCCCACCAAGGTATATTAAATTGTCACACTAAGTTGTAATGTAATAGATAAACTTCTACATTGCCCATTTTTTTAAATGATGCTATCGCATCTCTGTGCAGGTCTGTATCTGAAGAGTTCAAGGTCCCAGATGGCATGGTTGGCTTCAGTAAGTTGACCTATTTTTATACATTCATATCAGTTGTTGCCATGAAAATAGCCTTGGTTGCTGACAAGGCAATAAATAAAAAATACATTACATCATATCAGTTGTTTGTTTTTGGAGAGTTTTTATTTAAAACTTCAAATGGAATGCTTAACTCTTGTTTTCAGTCATTGGAAGAGGAGGAGAACAGATTTCAAGACTGCAACAGGAATCTGGCTGCAAAATACAGATTGCTCCTGGTGAGTCAAAAGTGAAATGCGTATTGGATGGTTTACACTGAGTGGTGTGGTTCACACGGGTCATGTTTATCATGCTTGTGTCTCCACTGCCAAACGGTACCCTTTTGATAGGCGTGGTGTACGACAGTTACGGTCGTTGTTATTTTCGCACAAAGTAAAAGCTGTAAGGGATTTTCACACATTGCATAAGAAGCACTTCTATAAATGTTTACAGCATTTGGTGATTGCTGCTGATTAATGCTAATGAGAGTTACTGAATGTCTGTAATTATAAAATCTATATGAACACATACAGACCATTACAGTCTCCGAAATGTTACCGGTTACTGAAAAGGCCTCATTTGTGTTTAAAAAATCAATTTACAATCAGTACAAACCTCTCATCGATATCTTTATTCTTCTCCTGCAAGTGTAACCTCTTGTTAAAGTAATTCCATATTTCTGAGTTCATGATAGTCAAAAAGTCAATCATGAATTAACAATTGCAATTAAATTCTTAAGTTGCTGAAAGAATCAATTGCTCAAGCTTTTTTTTTTTTTCGCTCTCCAATCTCACGTTTGTATGTCTCACAAAGGATGTGAGAAGCACTTTAATAATCATACGCAAGTTGTTATTATTAGGCAAGTACACTCAAATAGAGAAAGTGAAATCACTCGCGCTTTACCGCACGCTTTTAGATGCCCCCGTAAACAAAAGACACAAAGCAGATTCTGTTCTATTTGGCATGTGAATGTTTGTCACAAGAAGGCAACCAGGTTTATTTGGCTTAGTCGACCATGGCTCGTGTATTATGGTGTCATGTCCTAGCTGTATATTTAAAAATGGGGCTTTCTTTGTTGCCATTCTCCTGGCTTGTTGCTTACATTGGTGATGATTCTCTGTAAACCAATAGCGTTCAACAGTTAGTCTAGCTTCACTTTTTTTTTGGAATTGTTCTGTTGTGCTAGGTACCCTTTGGAATGGGTACTCAAAGTGGTGTGTTACGATTAAATCATTTAGTGCTATTGACAGTAGAAGCAGACAAAAGAAGTGTACCATACTGTACCTTTCCGTACCACTCAGTGGGAATGGTCTGTATGTCTCATTGTTGTCAGTTTTTTGGCCTGACTGCTTTTTGGTCATTCTTCTCCACAGACAGTGGTGGTATGCCTGATAGGTCAGTGACGTTAACTGGTTCACCAGATGCAATCATGTGAGTATCTCCATTCAAATGTTTTTTTCCCCATGATTATGAGCATTGTGTCATTTTAACTGTTTTAAAAACAAATTCATTGAACTCAATAGGACTGCTAAGAGGCTGCTCTCAGAGATTGTAGAGAAAGGCAGACCATCTCCAGCGTTCCACCACAATGATGGACCAGGGATGTCTGTTCATGAGATGATGATCCCTGCCTCCAAAGCGGGCCTGGTCATTGGAAAGGGAGGGGAAACGATCAAACAGTTACAGGTAACCTTCATAACATTTGTGATTTAACCACACGTAATTAAACGTGCACAAAGAGATGATTTGATTTTTGTAAAGCTTTTGTTGATCTTTGTCTGTGCTTTCCATATGTTTAATAATTTAGATGTTGAATACTTTTGTACAATAGGAACGGGCTGGAGTCAAAATGGTGATGATTCAAGATGGACCCCAAAACACAGGCGCTGATAAACCACTCAGGATCTCTGGTGATCCTTTCAAAGTTCAGGTACGCTATATATTACTTTGAAATTGTTAACCTACGTACAGTATTTCAATTTTTTATTTTTTTGAGCTTGCTGTGATTTTAAATTTATTTTATTACTATTTTTTTTATGTACAGCAAGCTAAAGACATGGTAATGGATCTGATTAGAGATCAGGGTTTTCGTGAACAGAGAGGAGAGTATGGCTCTAGAGCAGGTGGTGGTGGTGGAGGAGGAGAGAGTTTGGATGTAAGTACTGCTTCATAAGACAGAACCTAATCTTTAAATTATTTAGTTCTGAATGAAAGAAATTGACTATTAAACTGTTTTGCTACTGCTGTAGGTCCCTGTGCCAAGGTTTGCTGTGGGTATTGTGATTGGCCGGAGTGGCGAAATGATCAAGAAGATTCAGAATGATACTGGTGTGAGGATTCAGTTCAAACCAGGTATAAGAGGCCATTTACATGTTTTCAGCCAAGAATATAAACTGTTTTATGCCTTTGGCTGTTTGTTTACAACACAACATACTGCACATGTAGTACGTGTTGGGTATGTAGATGTGTAAAACATTGATTTTACAGGAAAGCGCAATCAAACTTCTAGCAACAGCAGTGTTGTTACTGCTCAAGAGTTTGCTAACATTTTTTCAGCAGAGTAGATCCATTTCACCAACATATACTCCGCAAATAAGACAGTAGTTTTGGCCATTTTTGCAGATAAAGTAAATATGCTGATCATTTTGAAAAATGCTGTCTTGTAGCCGATAACCTAAATGTAGCCTGAAATTGTTTATTATCAGTTTGTAGCACGTGGCAAATAAACTTTTGAATCAATTTTGATTATTGACACTTGCTTGCTTTTTCTTTCAGATGATGGCAGCACACCAGAAAGGATTGCTCAGATTATGGGACCCCCAGATAGAGCACAGCATGCAGCAGATATCATAACTGATCTACTGAGGAGTGTGCAGGCCGGAGGACCCCCTGGTCATGGTGGTGGTGGCGGTGGGGGCGGCGGCGGCAGAGGAAGAGGCCGTGGACAGGGAAACTGGAACATGGGCCCTCCTGGTGGTCTGCAGGAATTTACTTTTACTGTACCTACCATGAAGACTGGCCTCATTATTGGCAAAGGTTAGTTGTTGTCACATTACACTAATACATTCCATCAGGGAGATATGTTTAGCTGTGAACATTAAAACATTGTCGCTGTTCCTCTGTTCTCTTCATACATAAATGCATAATCTTGTCTCTTCTTGTTCTGTAAATTTATCTATTTTTTTAGAAGCTATTATGCCTTACATAATAATTTTTTTTTTATATAAGTTAATAGTTTTTTTTTTTTTACAAACCTAACCACATTAAATGGACAATGAGAAACACAAATACAAGCCTGGAAAATGAATAAACATTGTTTTTTTTTTTTAAATTATTTTCTTTAGGTGGTGAAACTATTAAAAACATAAGCCAGCAGTCTGGAGCCAGGATAGAATTGCAAAGAAACCCTCCTCCTAATTCGGATCCTAATATAAAGATCTTCACAGTCCGTGGGTCACCCCAACAAATTGATTATGCCAGGCAATTGGTCGAGGAGAAGATAGGAGTGGGTGTTTTTTTTTTTTTATGTTTCCTTTTTATTGTTATTATTTTTATTGTATTACACTAAAATGTATGTTTTTTTGCCATAGGGTCCAGTTAGCCCTATGGGTGGTCCTCATGGTCCACCTGGGCCACATGGAGGACCTTCTCATGGACCTCCTGGTCCTCAGGGACCACCTGCTCCCATGGGCCCTTACAACCCTGGGCCTTATGGCCAGGGCCCACCTGGACCACAGTAAGGACTTGTTACATTGTTTACTTTGTGACTGTGTTTTTGCTTATTTGTTGGGAGCCAGTTCAGTTGGATATGAACTTGGTGTATTTTATTTTTATCCTCAGTGGACCCCCAGCACCATACCAACCTCAAGGCTGGGGCAATGGATACCCCCACTGGCAGCAAGGACAGCCTGATCCTAGTAAGTCTAACTAAAGTTTGTTCAGAATAGCTTTGTGAAGTCCATATGCAATATTAGTCATCCTTTTCCACTTAAGCTGTTTGTTCCCCAGATAAAGCAGCGGCTGATGCTAATGCTGCAGCATGGGCTGCCTATTATTCTCAGTACCAGCAGCAGCCTCAGGGTCCAATGACACCCACCTCGGCAGCCCCAGGCACAACCCAAGCCAATGGACAAGGTGTGTTTTAGCTGCACTTCACAAAACAACCCTCTATTCACTGTTGACCTACAGTATCTTGAACAGTAGTAAGAAGCCTTTCAGTGTAGTCTTAACAGAGCAGTAGGATGTTGCTATTCTAACGGTCTATCCGTTGATCTGGGGTGACCTATTTTGGCTAGCAATTATGGACAGGACAGTTTCTCAGACACTCAACCTGCTTGTGCAAAGTGCAAAACCTAGCCAGCGGAGGACTTTCTGCCGCCTTTAAAAGAATGGTTCTCAAATTGTACCATTTTTAACAGGTGACCCGCAAGCTCCCGGTCAAAGTGGACAGGCAGATAACACCAAGGCCTGGGAGGAATATTACAAGAAATTGGGTATAAATACTTTGACAAATGTAGCATCAGAGAGATTTTCTCGGAGAGGTCAGATTAAATAGCAGCAGGGCTCGAATAGCCAGTCAGTGCTGTTTTACTTGGAGTCTTGCGAGGAAAACTAGAGGTAGGAGAATTTTCGTTCTGGTCCATAAATATATTGGTCTCAAACCCTGCTGTTCAGAATGAGGTGCTGTAGTGTCTCAACAGACGTAGAATAGGATTAACACAGAAATATAAAACCATGAATGAGATTACACTGTTCACTTTTCTGAATTTCCATAATGGATTAATATGTTCTACTTTCCTAATTTGTGTTTGATATTCCTGCATTTCTATGACAGTTGTTTTCATGAATATTTATTTTGAATTTAATGATATTTTACTGCTACTTAAAAGTTTTAATTGGATTGTTAACCAATAATATTTATTAGCATTTTAGTTAAGTGTAACAATAGGCTAAGTTGCATGTTTCAATCAGAATTAAGTAAATCTTTGTCTTATGTTATTATTCTAACATGTAGGCTTAAGAATAAAGTCATTTTGGTCTTGTCTCTTCAGGTCAAGGCCAGCCTCAGCAGGACTACACCAAGGCGTGGGAAGAGTACTATAAGAAGCAAGGTGAGCTAAGTATGTGAAAGTAGCTTTCTTCATTTTTTTTTAATGATTTTGGGCAGCTGCAGATCTTTCATAGTCCTCTCTGCAGTAGAGCTGCTATGGATTCAGCTGCCCTACAGTAAAGTAGTGGGTTTCTGTCCTGGCACTCGGAGGTAGTGTGATCAGGGTCGTTCCCCCGCTTACAAACATTCATGAATTGTGCAGAGCATGTTTTTGTGTACAGGGCTCCCACAGGTGCTTATCGTTTTTTCAAATGCTTTGTAAATCATTTAGTGTTAATCTAAAAAACTAATTCAAGGCCCTAGAAAGTTTTTAAGTCTCATAGATAGTTTCTTGAAAATGCTTGAATTGATTTTGTGCAAGATATTTTTATTTTATTTTGTAAAGTTGAGTTACTTTGCTTGTTAAGATCATGTAAACCCATTAAGCAAGAAATAACTTAATCATATTTATATATCTGAAACTTTTTGTTACATCAGCCTAAGCTCGTTTCAATAAGTTAACGTCAGATCATTTTAGAAAACTATATAGGATAAACCAAACATTTTTCAGTTTTGCACAGCAGAAATAAGATATATAGAATATCCTCTCTCTATCATGTGGCCAAAAATAAAGGCAAAAAAAAGCATTTGCATAGTTGCTTGACATGAAAACTAAAGTGTCTATCAAGGTAACATAATGTAACCTTGCCCTTAACTGTAATTCGACCTCAGGTCTATGAATCTATGAGGCTATTGGAGCTGGTAATTCCTTGAATTAGAAATTAACTAAATTCATAAAGCAGTTCTGATGTAAACTTTTGGATTTCTGAAAGTTTTCATATTTTCAAAATGTTAGTTGGTATGAAAGACATTTAAACCTGCTCTGTACTACGTGAAAATGCTGTAAAAAAATATTTTTGACAAGCTGATTACTGAATTGATGCACGTTCATTTGGTGTCCCTTTTATTTTAATCTTTCATCTTTTTAAACTTTTTGTTGATAGCTACAAGTTTGGGTGTTTACCCTGATGTCCAATAGTGTTCGATTGTACTTGTATAATGACTAATTAACAAAGGAGCAGATTATATAACTGCATTTATGGCTCGTTTCCACTGACTGGTACTGTTCGGTACGGGTCACATTTATCAGGCTTGCGTTTCCACTACCAAGGGTACCCTTTTAGTGGGCGTGGTGTATGACAAAGTTTCAAACAACGTCATTTTCACTGGAGAAAATGTCTACAGTAAAGCTGTACGGGTCGCTCTGATATCATATGAGAAGCACTTCTCACAAAACAGACACTTTATACACAAATAGTTCTGTATAAATGTTTATTACTAACTTTTATGAACATGAGTCGATTATAACTGCAGATCAACAAAATAGCCTACTGTAATGTCTGCAATTATAATAAATAAATGCAACATATTTGATCACATACAGCCCCTTACAGTCTCCGATATGTTACCACCTACAGAAGAACCACACACAGCACACATTTAGTCTTTTTTAGGTTCAAAAACAACACAAAATATAGCCCACAGTTAGAGCAGACCTCTCATCTGTGTCTGTAATCTTCAGCAGCACATGTAGCCTCTGTTAGAAAGTAACTCCATCATTCTGAGTTCATTATAGTCCAAAAGGTGATGATAATGGTTAAACATGGCAGTTTGTTCACGATTGCTGAAAAAATAATGGGCTTCTTTTTTCCGGCTTCTCCTTTGAAAAATGTGAGAGTGAAACAGAAAAAAAAGTATATAACAGGATCAGGTTTCAGCAGCACATCAATAATCGAGCGCACGTTATTATTATGAGCTCAAGAAGTGTGTTATTTCAAATATAGATGCGTGGCTTGCGCAAGCAAGAAAGCGGAACCGCTCACGCTTCAGATGGGCTCGTAAAAACTACAGGGCACAGGGTAAATCTGCTCTTCTTTTTTGCTTTGTGGCTGTTCATTGAGACAACGACAAGGTTTGTTGCCCAGTTCGACCATGGCTTATTATATGTATATATAATTACGCTGTAATCTCTCAGCTGTGTAGTTTAAACATAGCGGTTCCTTTGTTTTCATTCTGGCTTGTTGCGCAAGTGAATAATGTATCTCTTTAAACCAATAGCGTTCAGCTGCGTGTCTAGCTCTGCCTTTTGGTACCCTTTTGAAAAGGTGCCAAAAAAGTGGTTCGGTTTAGTACGCCTTTTAACAGTGGAAACGGCCATAAAAGCGTACCGTACTACTCAGTGGAAACGGCCATTACATTCAGTAATATTCCTTACATGAGGTAATGGTAATAATTTACTCCCGTGGATTCCATATTATAGTAACCTAAGTGTCTCAACTGGGAAAATGCTATGCCATGAGTGTTAAGCGCCACTAGCTGGAATTTTTTATTTTGAAAAGCTTGACCTTCTGTCATTAATGGTTATGATTCTCTCTTCTAAGGTCAAGCTGCTCCTCAAGCAGCTGCAGCAGCAACGGCAACACAGCCCGGAGGTCAGCCGGATTACAGTGCAGCGTGGGCCGAGTATTACCGCCAACAGGCCGCCTACTATGGTCAAGGAGCCCCTCAGGCAATGGGTGGTGCACCCCAGGCTCAGCAGGTACACTCGCAATTAAATGCCTTTTGAGCTGTTTACTTGAGATGTGTGCATGTTTTTGTTTCTACCACACCATTCCCAACACCCCCCTCCCCCCACCCTTCTTTCCTCCTAACGTTTACTTCCACAGGTTCAGCAGGTTTCCAGACGAGTCGTCAGTGCAACACTTAACCAAACACTTTTCTCCTCAAACAGGCTATTTTTTTTTTTCTTTTGAAGGGTGTTGCATAAATGTTTCTGTTCTTAACATGTTGTGTATTTCTTATGTATTTCTTCTGCACAGGGCCAGTAATGTGAAGTGGACATAAAGTAAATGCTACATTGTCAGAAAAAAACCTTTGTTAAATGTTTGGATGCAGACGCCATGATGAAGATCTTTATTTGATTGGTTTGAGTGTTTAAGATAGATCGCAGACCGGCTCCGAAGTCAAGTATAAATATATATATATTTTTCCCTTTTGTTTTGCCACTCTTGTAAATGAACGGTTTGTTTTTAGTCAGGTTAATATTTGGTCATTCCAGCTCCTGTATCTTCTGTATCTCATGTAGATTTGAGACTAAAGTCATTTCCATGTAAATCATCTCAGTTTTAATATGATATGCCTGTTGTGTTTTGCAATAAAACAATGAAACCTCCTGTGTTGGTAAGTGGGGTGCAAAGGTGGGGCATGTTTTGTGAACTTAACTTTGTTTTGGGACGGGGTGGGAGCAAATTTCCAAAAACGACAAATGTGTCTCTCGTTTTGTTTTTTTCTCTTCTTTGACCTGTCTATACAAGCCTTTTTGATTTTAGTTCAATTCCTGGTCTTTAAATGTCACAAGAGATCATTGACTGTTTGACAAATGGACAGCTCTGTTTTTATACTGCATTCTTGTTGTTTTTACTGGTCATTGATGTGGATGAGGTGTAGGCAGGTTATCTAAGGCAAAGTGGCTTGATGTTGGCAAGGTATGCGACTCATGCAATAACTCAGTGCTGTAGTGTTGCTCATTTTTGTACTGCATTTCACCTGGTTTGTTGAGGTTAATGAGAGCCATTTCCTTCCTCACAGGCAAGATTAGGAAGGCGGTAAGCAAGTGTGCGTCTTTACATAAACTGTTCTTTTAATATTGTTATTGCAATCATGCTGCAAGCATTTTAGTTTTTCAGAGTTTGCTGCTTTTTTTACAGTGCAGGTCAAATGTTCTGATCAAGTTATGCTTTGCGAAATTACTTGTCCCCATCTTATATATATTTTAAATGTCTAAATTCAACCATTTGTGTATATATTGACTATAAATATTGCTCAATCGTTTTGATACCATTAAAACACGAAAAGCTCAAATGCGAACATGGACTACTTGTTTTGTCTGCTAGCATATAGGTTTTTGGGAGACTCTGGCCTTCCACACCAGTGAAATGAGCTCTCCACTGTAAGTACAAAATGTACATGACTCTGCGGCTGTCAATGCTTTGTCTTTGACCGATTGAAACGCATTGTATTTTTTTAATATTCTCTAAATGTTGCCCTTTTTTGGGTAAGTATGTCAGGGCTGTAATTGATTTGACATGCATTTAAGATAATGACCTGACCCTTTTCCACATTGGACTGTTTCTTTTTGCCATTGTGATATGTACATATTGAGTCGTTGCCATGTTGACACTGCTTTAGTCATTTAGGAGTTCTCTTCTCAAACTGTATCACTGTGTTCAGGCCAGAACAGCTATAGCAACTTTATCCCATTGACTAGACATGTCAATTGTCATTTTTTTCTGCTTTGCCAAGTGTTTTATACTGCAAAGGCTATAAAGACCCATTGTCTCAAATGTCAATTCGCATTATTGTCTAATTTCTAAATTTGTGCCTGACCTGTTTTTCTGATTGAGGTCATCGATTTGATGCACGTTTTTCTTTGATTTGACTTTATTAGTGAGCAGTGCAATGTCTAACTTTGCAGTGCCATCCCTGACCTTGCACCTTAGGTTCTGCAGCAATAACGCACAGGTAAGAGTATCCTAAAAAGTCAAAGCGATTGAACCTGTGATCTCTAGTCTAATGCTTTTCATATTTGAAACTGAGGTCAATATGTGCTGCATAAACGATGTCTCTCGTAGTAAATAGATTGCCGTACGCAACAAATGTTGGAGTTTAGGTCTGCTGGAAATGTTTTTTGTCCATTTTGAATTGCATGGCATTGACCTGTAGCTCATAAAACAATGTTTTTATCTTAATTCTATTAATACCTTTAACTAGGATTGCTGTTTTTTTTTTCCTCTCTAAATGAACCCATGTTAATTTAATATGATTGCTCATTTGATAACTTGCCGGTAAGTGTTTAGTGTGGTCCTGTTCTAATGTTATACAAAATGCATGCAGATGCAAACTGATTCAGCGTTAGCCCTATGAATGCTCTCAATTATAACTGACGTATACTGTATGTATGCTCATGTTTCACTGGTTTGCAAGCTATATTGATGCCCCTCTCTAGTGCTAACATTTGTCCCACATTGCTGCCTTCATTCTCGCTCACAGTGTTGAAGATGCCGCAGGCGTAGTTCGTAGAATCAGGTCCTGAGCTAGTTTGTCCGTATGGAGGATTCCTTTGAGTCTGTCCCTCCACTGAATGTAGACTGTTCGAGGGCTCCAATTATAAGGTAAAAATATATATATTATGAGGACTGTCATTGCAAAGTCAATGTTTCTGTTAGTTTAGGGTGATGCCGGTTAGTTTTGATTTTAGAAACATGCCATACATTTCTGTTTTATTGGCTGTCAGTGCTATGAAATGTTCTTTGAGTACATGCTTTGCCTTTTGTTGATAAGTGTAGGGATTTAATGTGCATCAATGCTGTACAGATGGACCAGGAACGTTTTTTTTTTTTCTTTGAGTAGACATTTGCCAGATCTTTCTAATTTTCTCTTTTGGTTTGACGGTTAAAGAATATTTTTAAAGCTAGTCTGTCCATTGCTGCATATCGTTTGTATGCATGCTAGATGTGCTTTCCTTTTTGAGCAAATTGTTCACAACAGAATTCGTGGGGGTCTTAAAACGAAGAGAAAATCGGAGAAATTTGGAGCATGCCTTTTGAGGTAAAAACAAAAAATCAAACAAAAACAATGAACTGTTAAAGCTGTTGAATGTACCTTTTTTCTGAGAATTGTTGGTCTAAATTGACTGTTGCCATTGTCATTAATAAAATTGTAATCATTACGAATGGCTTAAGTTTTTATTGTCCACATCGTGTTGCTTTAAACGATACATTTTTTGTACTGGCGTAACAGGTGAGTTATGAACAAGTGTCATCTCCAAAAGCTTATTACAGAACACAATTTTTAAAATGCCTGTTGCATGGCCTTAGCTTTACATGACTTGAATATCTAAACAATTCATGGGCAGTGTTGAAATATTAATTTCCATAACCCCTAACCCCCTACCTTTTTTGGGAGACTAAGTTTCTTCATCCCTTTTCAAACACATTAAAATACTCTCCAATATGGTTACAACTTTTAGGTTTCAAAACATGGAGAACCCTAAAAGATTAGACCATTCATTGTGCAAATCATTCCTCAAGTCAAAACAGAAACTTGGATAAAAGAACACTGAAAGGCATATTAAATAGACATCTGTCCTTTCTTAACCACTTAATTTTGAACATACAAACAGTACATGGCACTAATAGTGACTCTTGGAAGACGAGTCGTGATGAGGACTAGATTCAGCAGCTGTAGGCAGTGAGTGAATGACTGACAGACGTATGTAGTCACTGAACTTGTGCTTCCAGCAAAGCACTGTGTACCAGATGCACCGAGGTGTCACTACAGCCGTTCAGGTGATGGATCACATCTGTTGCCAGATAGGCCATAAGCAGATCAGATCGTCTGTGAAGCAGGTGTAGGATGTCTTCAGCCAGTGTCTCCAGACTAAAATAACGTACTTTGTCGAGGTCAAAGATGTCCTTAAGGAAGAACAACACCTGCTCCTGTAGGGCAAAAGTCTGAATCAATGTAGTTTACAGCTAACAATGAAGAGTAAACCCTGGCAGTCTAAAAATGACTACCAGACCCCTGATCATTAGTACTAAAAATCTGAGATTGAAATAAGATTTCAGAATTGATTATTGACAGGTAACAGCTGTGAACCTCCAGGGCCAGATCTGAAAAAAATGTAGCCAGTATTCCAAATTCTTGTCCTGGAGTTCCCCAAACACAGCAAACTTTTAGGTCACCCGAAAATTAAGGTTAATTACTTTCCCTCATGTTCAAATTCCAAGACCTTAAAAAGCTTTCTAATGTTACATAGATGGTTAAGAGACCATCAAAGTCCAGAAAAAGAACCAAAAATATTCCATGTGACAGTGGCTCAAATGTAATCATATAATGCTCCAACAAAAATTTGCAAAAATATATGTAAACGTTTTGTTTCCCAATTTTTATTTATTTTTGTCCATGTTCACTGCGGAGAGTTAGCAGTGCAACACGTGAGCATCATATCTGTACACTACACCTGACAAAAGTCTTGTCACCTTGTCACATGGAATATTTTTGGGTTCTTTTCTGGACTTTGAACTAGAGATCTTCACAGCAGGCACAGAGGGATTCGGGTCTATATTTTAAAAGGTCAGTCAGGACTGTAAGTAATACCAGAGACGATCGGGCTCAGAGAACACCCCATCCACCAGTGATCAATCAAATGCCCTTAGCAATTTGTTTTGAAACTTGCAACTTGTAAAATTAGCATGGGGATGTAAACAGGAAATGAGGTGGTTAAAACATGTGCATTACCTCAGCCACACAAAAAAAAAATTTTAATTTTCAAGTGGTTAGATAAGAGATCTAGTATGTAATACTAAGGAATCAGTCATTGCCTTGGTGTAATGTCAACATTGATATGGATGATAATCAGATATTTCTGTTTTTGGGACTTCTTTTTCCCTTTAATAAGTGAAGCTTCACAAACTAATTTCGAGAGGAGCAGGTGATATGAACGACTACAGCTGATCCTTATTGCTAATCATTAGCTAGCCTATCTGATCATTCTAAAACTACTAGAAATATCCTCCCTAAACTTCATTTCCATCTTTGTTTTTGGAACCCCTCCCCCTCCTTCCCCTCTCCCTCCTCCTCCTCAATTGAGCCAGTCGGCATGGAGTTTGTGTGTTCGCGAGGGTTTTCCCCGGGTTCTCCGGTTTCCTCCCACAATCTAAAAACATGCACATAAGCGAATTATAATAACAGTCACAAGCACTTAAGGTATACATACTGAATCAGTCAGAACCACCATATTAGCCATGTATAGCAAGTATAGAACTGGGGGCTCTCAAGAAATACATAATCTCGTATTCTTCCTAATGCTCATTGATTAGACGGTCTTGCGTCTGGTTTGGTCTGATACAGAACATTTATTGTCTCCTTAGAAAGACCTTTACTTTAAACATCTCTGGACCGTTGCCATCTATGAAGCATGAATAAGCTCTCAGACTTCATCAAAAGTATCTCAATTTGTGTTCCTTCAAAAGTTCACTCTTAGCTGATTAATTGTAGCGTGTTTGGCATGCTGTCCTGGGAGAGAGCCCTGAGCTCAGAATATTCTCGAGCTTGAGGCTCCCTCCCGTTTGAAGGGAGTATGAGCTCAGGTAGGTCTCGAGAACTCCCCTGCTTGTGATTGTGTTAGGAATAGCTGAGATTTAGTTGGCTAAGAGTTTGTCCTAAGATGCTAGTTTGGATTAGTCGATTTACTTATGTATGTCTTTGGACGGTGGGAGGAAACCAGGAAAAAACGGTGACTGGCTCGATAAGGGCTCAAACCAGTGGTGTTCTTGCTGTAAGGGAACAGTGCTTACCACCAGGCTGCTGTGCCACCCTAACAGGAGAGGAGTAGGGGAGATTCTTCCAAGACTAAGATGACTAAAGTACAAAACTCTGGTTATTTATAGCGGGGTCAGTATTCATCTGATTGACGCAATATGCGGGACCAACCGTGATCAATCATAAGCATGTGAGCCTCTTGAAAGTAGATTATAAATTAACTGTGCAAACATAAACTAAGGTCTCGGGATTGGAACAACATGAGGGTGAGTAATTAATAACAGAATTTTTATTTTAAGGTGAAGTTTTTCTTTTTAACTTTAAATCTAAAGTGATGTTGTCCACAAATACGTTCATGCACAGTCCAAAAATCAGGCAGTTAATATTTGTTGAACTTACTTAGAGGTTACACCAAATTATGCCTTACCTTGAAGAAGCAGCAGAAATCTTGCAGAGTACATTTAGGGCCTAGAAACCCCCAGGCCAAGACAGGACTTATGTGCTCACACACTGCATAGAAATGTGCAATAAAGCCATCTTGGACCTGTGCACACAAATCAAATATTACTATACAGAGTGGAGATGAAAATTACAGAACACATTTTCAAAATGTCACTTAGTAATATTTGTATTTATCCTAAAATTAAATGTGCAGATCTGTAAGCATATTTCATGAGTAACTCATTCTGAAGCACAGTATAAAAAAATTCAACTGAAAAACAACACTGATCCAAATTAGAGAACTCTTCCAGATACCTCTGTTACCCCTCATTTATACGGGGCATCAGCGTTGGCGCTTCCCTTTAACTTTCAATGGAGTGATTTGCTGTACCGAATTGTGGATCTGTCGAATCATATTGGGTCTATTTCAACCTTAAGTGTCAACCCAGATATCAGCCAATCAGATTTCTTTATGAAATACAAGTATTGTCACTAGCCAATCATGTTTGTGCAACACCAGAGAACAGCGATATATCAAAATGGAGGAAAAGCGTATTATAATGGTAATCACCCAGTGCTTTGATTAATTTCTGTACACCTTAAACACTAATTGACCATTTTCACAAGATGGTTATGGCACGTTTAACACTTATCAGCATCAAAAATCTTTAAAAGTTTTAAATATTTAGATAAAAAAGCATGTACATTTATAAAGTTTACTTTGTATTATATCATCTGATGTTTGTAATGCAGAATCATGAGGGGGCCAGACAGTAAATGTGACGTTCTCTCTTCTGGCTGCTATCTCAAATTTAGTCCTTTTTCTTGATAACGCCATTGAGTTTATGGTACTCTCCAATTCACTGTGTTCTAAGTTTACACAACTGCTGTTGAGAATCCTGGACATGTGAAATGGGTCCATCCTGTGCTTTTATGTTGTGGTCCAAGCTTGATGTGATTGGCTGTTGTCCTTCAAGCGTTAACGCCAACGCCCTGTGTGAATTACTGATGTTAATCTAGCATCTGGTGGTAATGGAATTATCTGACAAACCCTATTTATCTCTCAGTCTTAGGATAGGTCAGGCTAATCTCAATGGTATATCAGTGCAATGCTGCAACTGGAACTGCTTGCCATTTCAGAGCTGAACAGGATAAAAGGATTGCTGAGAAGCAAGTTGAAGAAGGGTATAAACAGAGGTCTGAGCCAACATCAACTCTAAACCCAATCTCGCAAAAACCTTGTGTTTTATTAATGTTTACTACACCTACTCAACCCTAAACCAAACCTCACAGTAACCTGTTGTGTTTTGTCTACTACACCATCTCTAAACCAAACCTCACAGTAACCTGTTGTGTTTTGTCTACTACACCAACCCTAAACCCAACCTCACAGTAACCTGTTGTGTTTTGTCTACTACACCTACACCATCTCTAAACCCAACCTCACAGTAACCTGTTGTGTTTTGTCTACTACACCATCACTAAACCAAACCTCACAGTAACCTGTTGTGTTTTGTCTACTACACCATCTCTGTTGTGTTTTGTCTACTACACCTACACCATCTCTAAACCCAACCTCACAGTAACCTGTTGTGTTTTTTCTACTACACCTACACCATCTCTAAACCAAACGTCACAGTGACCTGTTGTGTTTTGTCTACTACACCTAGACTAATCCTATACCCAATCTCACAGTAACCTATTTTATTATTGTCTACTACACCTACACCAACCCTAAACCCAATCTCACAGTAACCTGTTGTGTTTTATTAATGTCTACTACACCTACACCAACCCTAAACCCAATCTCACAGTAACCTGTTGTGTTTTATTTATGTCTACTACACCTACACCAACCTTAAATCCAATTGCACAGTAACCTGTTGTGTTTTATTAAAGATCCATTACACCAACACCAACCCCTAAACCCAAACCCAACCTCGTAAAAACCTCTTGTGTTTTATT